TTGTAAATGTTATGAATTGTGAGTAGTTAAACAGTATTTTACTTTCAGCCTACAGCTTTGAAAGTAACTAGACAATGTGCTGGTTTGCCACTTTTTCTTGTTACAGTGGCTAACGCATTGAAGAACAAGGAGTTGCTTGTCTGGAAGGATACACTACAACAGTTGACTAGAGCTGATCATGAGGGATTGAAATATAAAGTGTACACTGCTATAGAGCTAAGTTACAATCGCCTAGAGACTGATGAACTGAGAAAATTCCTTTTATTCATTGGTTCTTTTGGGAATGGTCATAGCACTTATGATTTGCTGATATATGGTTGGAGCTTGGGTTTGTATAGAGGCACTGATACATTGGCAGATGCCAGAAACAGGATCTATACATTAACCAGCGACCTTAGAGCATCATGTTTGTTGCTTGAAGGGGAAAGGGATTGGATTGAAATGCACGACACCATCCATGAAGTAGCTTCTGCTATAGCGTTCAAGAATGAACCTTTCTTTTCTGTGCAACGTTATGGTGAATTAAGAGAGTGGCCCAAGATTGATTTGCTCAAAATGTGTCGTGGTGTTTTCCTTCCTTGGTGTTTCATAAAAGAACTTCCGGAGAGATTGGGGTGTCCAGAGTTGGAGATTCTTGTGCTGGACAGTATAGATAATACTGGAAAGTCCCAGAGAACTTTCTTGTTATGACAAAAGAACTTTAAGGTTTTGGATCTGGGAGGATTTGATTGTTGTCCATCATTGCCAACATCTCTGTCTCTCTTGACAAACCTCCGTGCATTGTATCTTTGTCAGTGCTCGTTGGAAGGCATAACCATGGTTGGAAAACCCAGAAACTTGGAAATTCTTAACCTCGACAGATCTGAGATCGAAGAGTTCCCAAAGGAAATAGGTGAACTAACTCGTCTACGTTTGTTGGATTTGACAGATTGTTCAGGATTGAGATCCATTCCAAGTAATGTCTTCTCGCGCCTAACGTGCTTGGAGGAACTCCACATGGGGAATTGCTTTATTCAGTGGGAGGCAGAGGGAGGCAGAAGCCATAGCCAAGCAGTAATGTGAGTCTTGGGGAGACAAGACATTTGCATAAGCTAACGGCTTTGAAATTGCAGATTCAAGGTGCCTCTGTTTTGCCTAGGGACTTGCTCATCTTTGGGAAGCTAGAAAGTTACGAGATTTTAATTGGTCATAAATGGAAAGGGTCGCAGACAGATGGTGATGTGAACTATGGAACTTCAAGGATACTTCACCTCGATTTGAGCATGATTGTTGCCATTCATTTGGATCATGGGATTAAGATGTTACTGAATAATGTAGAGGACTTGTACTTGGCCAATTAAAAGGGTGTTACAAGTGTCCTTTACCATTTGAATACAGAAGGATTCCCACAATTGAAGCGCCTCCATGTTCAAAACAGTGGTGAAACGAAGTGCATAATTGATTCAACAGAGAGGATTGACCCTCATCCTGCTTTCATGAACTTGAAGTCTTTAGTTCTTTGCAATCTAATCAATATGGAGAAGATTAGCCACGGCCCATTTCCAACAGAGTCCTTTACCAAACTCAAAGTTATTAAGGTCATGGGATGTGAAAGGTTGATAAATCTTTCTGTTTATGAAATGGTTAGGGACCTATGCCAGCTTGTTGAAGTGGAAACTTCTCAATGCAAATCAATGACTGAGATCGTAGTTTCAGATGATAAGGAAATTGACAAGCTAAAGCTTCCCAAACTACGATCACTTACCCTGGATTGCTTGCCTATGTTTTCTGGTTTATATTCCAAGTCATTGCCAAATAATATGCAATCAAGAAATGGTGTTACCGAGGATGGTTTGGCCATTCCAGCTGCATTGTTTGATGAAAAGGTACCCTCATGAGTTATCAGTACTTCGCTTCTTAAAATGTTAAACACAACTGCTTACTTAAGACAGTTTTTGTAAGATTTGTGCTTTTAAATTAACTTTATTTGATTGCAAAGTTATTTCGCATTAAGTTCTGAACTGTTCTGTCATGTTTCTTTTTCTTCCTCCTTTGCAAAATACTGCACTATTGTTTGTACGAATAGGTTGAATTGCCAAACTTGGAGAGCTTAAAGATTTCTTCCCTCAGCCTGAATAATATATGGGATGATCAACTTGCGGCACATCCTTGCATTCAAAATTTGACAACTTTGGGAATAGATAACTGTGTTAACCTAAAACGTTTGTTCTCATACTCTGGCTAGGGGTCTGGTTAAAATTCAGTATCTCAAGATTACTAGGTGCAAAAGATTGGAGGAGATATTTGTCACAGAGGCAAAGATGAGCCATCTTCCTAACACTAGGAGGCAAATGTGGAATGAAGAGATGAGTTCATGGATCTGAGATGATGAATTTAAGTATAACTTCAGGTGAAATCAGGAGAAAGATAAGCCCCAATTGATGGAGTGCATTTCTCCCTCTCCCTCCCCTCCTACTTCTAGGTTTGAGTAATAGATATTTTATCATTGTTATCTATGTACTTCATCATAATGTTTTAAGGATGTAATGAATTGAAATTTTCAGGCCACAGTCCCAAGATTGGAGACATTAGTGACCTCTCATATGCACAACCTGAAGGCAGTGTGGAAAACTCAAATAGCACCAAGTTCCTTCAGCAACTTGAAAGAAATGGAAATTTCATTCTGCAGAAAATTGTCCATTTTATTTCCATCTTGTGTCCAAAATCAGTTGAATAATTTGGAGACAGTGATTGTAACGGACTGTGATGCAATGGAAGTTATATTGGAAATACAAGGGTCAGATGAAGCAACTGCAAGCCAAGGAAGGCTTGCTAATGAACTGAAAACTTTGACACTGAGACAGTCTTCCAAAAATGAATCATGTCTTTCCCCTCACCCTGGTTAAAGAGCTTCTGCAACTCCAAGTATTTCATGTGGCAAATTGTGGCGTAGAAAATGTTGTTGCAGAAGATAAAACAGTTAAGGCAGCTCCAGGATTTGCTTTCCCACAATTAACATCGTTGACATGCTGGGAGGCGCAAAACCTTAGAAGTTTCTACTCTGGAATTCACACTTCGGATTGTCCCAAGTCAAAAAAACTAGATGTGTATCATTGTGATGAGTTGCAAACTTGCAATTATTCAGGCTGAGGTGAAACGAAAAATAGAAGAGCAGAAACAGAAGTCACATAATGGAGCACAGTAAACTCTTTGTAACCTCCTCTTAATTCCTGTAACGTTCCTTTTATTTTGTAAGTTTCAATTTCACGATTCCAGAACTATAAATAAGGCCCTTGTGGCTGTATAAGGGACCTCAGTTTTTGAAAGAATAAGAATTGCTTGTTTTCATTCAGTTTCTGTGCCACAAGGTCTCAAGATTACCCAGAAAATATGGTTAAGCAACCTCTCTTCTCATTCGAAAAGGCATCTTATTTTCGCTGAAGATGTAATTACTGTCTTAATCTTGGATAAACATTCACCTAACTTCCTTATGTCTAGTTGTTAATTCATCGTATTTAAGTAATTGACTGGGTTTGGGAGAAGAGCTAATGAATTAAAGGAACTTTTGTGCTTGTGTTTTTCTGATTCCATTACATAGGTTATATCCAACATAGAGGAAATATCTCTGAGCAGCAAGGATATTACAAGAATTTGCAGTGGTCAGCTTTCTCATGAAGACTTTACTCTGTAAAATCTTAAGAGTCTTGCAGTGTCTTGCTGTCTCTTCCAAGAGATATTCTCTAGTGAAATCTCTGAAAGTGAATTTACTGAGACAAATACAAAGTTAACAAGCATAGGCAAAGAAAAGTCCAACGTGCAGCCTATTCTTCAAAGCCAGAGAACTTTGAAGTACATAATCTTCCCAGTTTGAAGAATGATTTTATTTCCTCACTGCAATTCCAGAACTTGGCCACCTTATTTTTATGCAAGTGTGATGGTTTGATAAACCTCATGACTTCCTCGAAGGCCAAAAATTTCTTGGATCTCAAGAAACTGACGATTTATAATTGTAAAATGATCGAGGAAGTTGTGGACAGTGATGAGGGTGATGATGGTGGCGAGATTGCCTTCATATGAAGCTAGAGCGTTTGGAGTTGTATAGTTTATCAAGTCTCACCAGCTTTTGCAATGGGAATCACAGCTTCAGGTTTCCACTATTGAGAATAATATTTTTGGTAGAATGCCCAAAGATGGAGACTTTCTCCAAGGGGATCTTGAGCACTCCAATGCTGAGGACAGTGAAAGTGACATGGGAAAGAGATGGTGAATGAGATTGGCATGGCGACCTCAATACTACGATGGGAAAAACTTTCAAGGAAACGGTAATATCTGCGTCATCTATATCTCATGATCTCCAAATTGTAAGAATCCTCAATTTTTTCCCGTTTTACTTTCTTACACTTCAAATGCCTGCCTGTTGAATATCCAGAATGCTGAGGAAGTCTTGATTTCTGAATATTGAAGCAGGCAGCTATTATCTCATCGGACTCCCCATTTCTTGTGTTCATTAGAAAAAAGTGCAGCTCCAGTTCGTAATGCTCTTTCTTTTTGTTATACATTTTGTTTTCTTCGGGAATAAGAATTTACCTGAATCCTGCAAAACGTGCCACTCGACATGTCCTTTTATTTTTACTAGAATCTCTATTTACAGCCTCTATGGTTATCAATCTATTTATTTATTAATTGCTTTTCATTCATACAAATTTCTCATCTCAGCAGCATGTATTTTGAGCCTAGCAAAGCGATATATCTCTCCTTCAGGTTTGTCCTGCCTTTTATTATTCAAAAAAAGTAATGAGATATATCTTCTATTTAGAATGGTGCTTAGACAATTACGCGTCCAATTACATCTGGAAGATACAATTATGTCGTGATTGACGTTAGTATTTGCATAGCGACCGACTGCAAAGCATGGAAGAAGCTAATTCGTCAATCATGTCTCGTAATGCTCATAGCTCTGTCTAGTTCAGGAATGTCAAGGCAAGTGCCGTGTTCACTTTAATTAAAAAAAAAAAATCAAATTATATTGCCATTCCGATATATTTATAACAACATTCCAAACAGGTACATAAGATTTGAAACAAACTATAGGATCATTTCGAGGCAACTTTCTATAGCAACCTAAGCAACAGCTAGCAGGTATTTTGACAAAAACCTAATTCACTGTTGCTGGTACAGAGATATTTGAGAAACACGTGTATACTTTATTAGACGGTTCGATCAGGACAAGCGGGGTATTTACATTTCAAACCCCTGTTATTTTCATCCTGTTAACCAGCAATTAATCCCATCTTAGTTACTAACTGACTAACGGAATAGAAACAACTCGTATAACTATTGACACGTAACAATTGCAAAACCCAAACCCACTCAAAATTCCTGTTATGAAGGGCTAATTACAACCAGAACCTAGTTTCTCCAGTGATGGCTGTACAAACGGGAGAATCAACAAAGCTGCGGGGCAAGACACACACAATGGCTAAGACAAACTGATTTCATATCTGTTCCGTCTCACCACTCACTCTGTCATGCATTGTTTCAACAGAAACGTTTGAAGATTTGTCAAAGCCGCCATGCTTTGCAGGCTCTTCTTCAACGCCCGGGTTCTCTGTCAGAACTTCATTGCCCAAAATAGTGTCAGGCGAACGTGTCTGAACCACATTGTCACTGGAATTGAAGGGGTCATTGCTGAAAGAAACTATGACCTTGGAAGCAACGGGAATTCTTCCATCTCTGGGTGATTGAACAGAAAGGGAATTATCATCAGAAGAGTCAGATTCTTCAGAGATTCTTGTTTCTTGAACCCCTGGTTTTCTTGTTTTATAGGAAAGCACATGCTTTAGGCCACGAGCTGATTTCCCAGCTGCATGCTTCAGCATGTTTCTTGCCTTTTCTTTGGCATTTCCCTTGCTTGGGCTCTCTGGACCATTGCTTTCAGTGGATGTTCCTTCTATCTGAACCTTACCAGAGGCAAACCCAGAAATGTTATCCTCCATAACAAAGTTCACACCAATCTCCTTGGCATTCTCAGCCTTAATATTTGCATGTGGATATGGAACAGCCTCTCCAATGCTCTGTGCTGATGTTGGTGTCGGAGGCTCATGCTTCTGGCCCCTTCGAAATACGGACCCAATCTTGTGCAGTCCCCTCTTAATTGATTTTATTCTGTCCTTATCCTCTGAGTCATCATCAGGACTGCTGCAGCCATTGTTCGAGGATCCATATGCTGCTGAATTAAAACTCCCATTTAATTCATTAGGCTCCCTGTGAATTTCAGTATCAAGGCGACGACTCTTCCCTTTTCTAGGTTCCCATGTTTGGGACACTTCACTACCTGGTTGATGAACCCAAACTCCAGTGTCCTTTTGTCCTTCAACATCTATAGGCTCAAAGTTATCTGCAACTTTCTGGGATTTTTCTGAAGAAACTGATGAGAATGAACTTCTATTACAATTCTCATTTGCAAAGGAATTCCTTTTTTGTTCAGCATCCATTTCTTCCTGGTTACATGTTTTATCAACCTCCTGAAAAGATTAGAAAGGGGGGAAAAAAAAAGATGAAATCAAACAAAAGATCACCGTATCAACAAATGGGAGCAACTCAATGTCTCTAAAACAGACTAAATACCATTTTTATTTTCCTTCTTCATTTCTCTTCATTTATTTGTTATTTGAATTTCAATGCTGCTTTATTAAATACTACATAAAGGATCATAATAAATGGCAAAGAACAAGACACCTTTGCATTGTCTTCAAGAACAGTTATAGCCAGGTGCAACCTCCCAGTTTTAATACTTTGAAGAGTTAACCACATATCATGTCTCTGGCCATCCCTCAAATCACTGAGGTTGACAGAACAGTTTCTGTAGACAGTAAAATGTTCAATTAGCCTATAAAAAATGAGCGGTAACAGTGACTGGACAAGAGAAGAAGGAAATACATCCACAACAATAAGTTAAGTATAACCAGAAGGCAAGAAAAGACGGAAGCTAGTGATGGAAAAAAGAGTTTAAAAAATGAGAAGTATTGTCAGAGTCTCATAAGAAACTGAAACACCCAACATTCAGAATTAACTTGATTGATCTGCCTCAGGAAGCTATGAAAGATTAGGTGTCAGGGACCGATACAGACTCCATAGGAACAACCATCAATCACAGAAATCATGGTTTAGTTAGTCAGTCTAGAAATGGAAGCTAATATACTGGAGATAATACATGAGGCAACATGGTTGTCAGGTTATTGCTTAATTGCTGGGGATCTCATCAAGTGTAAAGACATGTAAATTTAGACTAATCAAACACAAATAGATAAATGTCAACTAGTCAGTGTTTAACCTCATATAATGTTAAAAACTTTGCTTTGGTATCACAATATGTTCCAGAAGACGAATCAAGGCAAAGTTGATCCTTAAGACCAGGTTAAAATAATCTATTATGCTCAAAAAGAGAGACAGACCCGAGGTTATCATCATAAAAGTGGTCCTTGTCACAAACTTCTATAGCCAATATATTAGTGTACTCCCATGTTACAATGGGAATTTTAAATTCTTCATGCCATTTTGGACTAAGTGTTTTCCTCTGTATCTTTGTCCTGAATCTGTAGCCACCTAAATGACCTTTTACATATGGATCCGCTAACCCTGAAATATCACGTAATTTTCACAAATGAGAAAAAAATAAGAGGCAGACAGTAAATCCTCATGTTCTTCAAAAATTAAGGGATGACCATTTAGATCTGATGGCTTCATGTCAGATCCTTCAACAACTTCTACAAGGACATAGGCAACAGGCTCCTTCTCATTGACGGAGAACCATGCCTCTGCAACATTGGGAATTGTGGATGCATGAGAATGTGCTTTTAAAGAAAGCAAAAATATGTGTCAAATGCATAACATAAATTTTAACAACTAAAAATTTACCCATGATATAGAACCTTAAGTGCATTATGCAGAATGTGTTTTTGATTTACTACAAATATATGACGATACCAGATGAATCGTAAGAACTCTAATGACATTAAAAGTTTCTCCAAAATCCTTTAACTAATCAAACTCTCATGTATAATGAAAATACGGCCACCGGTAACCCAAGTTTTAACACAATGATGACCACAATCCCTACTTTTAAGTGACTAAGCCCGCCACCATCATCATCAACAACAAGCCGCCTTATCCTACTAAGTGGGGTCAGCGATATGTATTGAATGATACCATTATACTCTACCATCAACCAAGCTTTTAAGAATATTATTAACTAAGAGGTTTCGTTCAACAACTTCCATAAGTGTTCTCTTTGGTCTTCGTCTACCCCTCTTTACATGACTCAAAGCTATCCACTCCACTCTCCTTACAAGTGCCACCAACATATTCTTTATACATGACCGAACCATCTCAAACGATTTTCTACCATTTTTCCCTCAATTGCTCCCACACCCACCTTTTCTCATACATGCTCATTTCGAATTTTATCTTTTCCTATATACTTGCACCTCTACCCTAATATTCTCGTCTCTATCACTCCAACTTTATACTCTTATTGTTTCTTTAAAGCCCAACATTCACTACTATGTTATTTAAAATGGGTACAAAATTTTGCTTTTAGCAAACAAATCAATATGTTGTCTATGAAAGGGGGGGTATAGCAAGATTCAAGCTGCACCCATGATGGACACGAGTACTTCTTTGGGTAGGTCATCTCCCTTAAAAGTAATTAATGCATGCAAGTCAAGTCAGGCTTACATACATAAAAAGTATAAGTATAAATATGGGTGATTTACCTGGCTGGGGCGAAGCAAATTTCTCAACATCAACTACCAGCATATTAGGCTGCAAAATTTGTTGATGTTTAAATATAAAGATAAAATTGAAAATAAATAAACTATACAGCTAGAATGGGATTTCAACATTAGAAACTGCTATAAAAAGAAGAAATAAGGAATTCCAAGACACTTGTAGGATTATCAAATCACCCCAAGATCATCATGCCATAAATCGCCCCAAGATAAAATTATCATAAGAGAACTAACTTCACCTCAACAAGAGTCTGTTCAAATGCGATAGACAAAAGCTTATCCTGATAAAGGGGAAAAAATAAGATGAGAACAATTAATCAAGTAATGGGCAAATAAATAGAAATGAGCAAGAGTGAGGGAGAGAATAAAACAAAAAGAAAACAAAATAATTCTCAAAATTCTCCAAAAAAATGCAAGGTACTCTCTTACTAGCCATCCAGCAATCCCAGGAACTTCTGTCACATCAAGCCCATGAGTAAATATAGGCTTGACAGTCATCTGAAAGTATGGGGGTTCAACAAAGCATACACGCAAACGACTAAGGAGGGGCCATGTTTGGCGAAATTTTATCCCAATCAAAACCTGATGCAGAGGGAAAAGGAGACAAAACATATCATTCAAATTTCATTATATTTCTCTCCACTGCATGTGTGAAAGTCATTTAGAGTTTGAATATATGGAAAGCCAACAAAGCAAACTCATAGATCGGCATTTCAACAAAACAGTGCTCCAAATCATATGAACCTCAAAGGACATACGTACTAAAGCTTTTTCTTTCTATTGCTCACTAACGTATAAAAAGGGGGGGAAAGGATGAAGAGTAAATTAAAAACTGTGCATGATAAAAATTAAAAACTGACAGTATAAATACTTTTCACACTACAAGCTATAAATATAAATGGTAGTGGAAACTTTTAAACCATTTCCACCATACGATCATCTTGTGACCATTTCCACCATACAATCATCTTGTATATCTTTAACTTTTAAAAAGTTTATTAAAATTCTTCATTTTTAACTTAGACATTGTACTGTGAACATCACATTTATCCTTCTCATTACCACTATGTCTTTTCTTTTCCAATAAAAATTATACTTGATATCAATCAAATTGCAGGTTATTGAGAACCCTTATTCATAAAATTTAATTGACTAGTTAGTCAATTAAAAAATAAGTTTATATTCATCAAATGAGTATAAGTTTACTATAAGTTAGATTCTATAGTCATACCTTCCCTTCAACATGCATACCCGTTATGTGCAGCTTTGCCGACATCCCAAAGCCTAATCGTTTCCTTAGTTTCACAGCTATTATTGCACTCATATCATCGGCCGTGAGAAAATTCATTCCTAATTCCAGAACCTGCATAGATCACAGTGCAACATCTAAATCAAACCAGAGAAGATTTTCAGCAGCAAATGCTGAACAAAAGATCGATAGAGTATCCTGCTTTCAATACCACATACCAAGTGGTCATCACTATTTTGACGAAGCACCCTCATTTCAGTGAATAAAGGGGGGTTTCTCCCCAGGTACAGGTGCTGAACCATGGCTTTTTTCTGCAAATGCAATAACAGCCGAGTCATCAATATTTCATTGCACCACAATTCTCGAGTCAAAGAAAAGGAAGAAGAAAAAAAGCTTTCTATGTCTCTGGCCTGGCATCTCACTGAAAACTATGAAATTCGTACAATACTTTGACGTTCATGCATGCTAACAATGAAAATAATGTTCAAATTTCTAATTGATTGACCTAACAAAGTCAAACACTAATGACAGAATCGTAAGTCATACAGCAGTCCAAGGTTTGTACTTCTCCAAGAACCAAGGTATGATTGGGAGCAAAATCTTCTGAGAGGCAATTTGTTCCATACATATGGGCCATATGTTTTCAACTGCATGGTTCAACCACCTCACTGATTCAGAATCAGAAAGCACCTGAAGTACACGAATATCTGTTATTCAACTTATCACTACATTATCATAGTCCTTTACAATTAAAATATCACACCTCAATAATACATTAAATTTCAATGATAACACAAAAACATGCTACCGAAAGAAATGTTGAATTTTAACTCACAAAAGATGAACATAAAAAGGAAAAGAAAAGAAAGAGACAAGTAATGTTTTAAATCTAGAATTTTTTTTAAAATCCTTTTATTTTATTTTATTTCCTAGGTGAAGTTTAATATAGTTTTCTTTTCTTTTATTTGTATGACGAAATAAGAAAAACACAAAAGTTGAATGCTAGCCTGAGAACTTTTTTGTAAAGCAATAAAAAATGGATTGAAAAGCACCAAAGGAATAACAGAACTTAAGATGCAGACTTCAACTTGTCTCATTCTCTTGGTATCAGATTCCGTTTTCGGAATCATGTGGATCTGAGACGGCAGGAAATGCTTTTTGAGATCCGCGTAACATAGTTCTTTACTCCTTTTTCCCTTCAAGCATCTAACTCTTTTTCCCTCAAATCGAACGGATCGAGCAGATTAGCAAGTTCATGACATAATATCAAACACAAGTTGCAGAATTACCCTTCTTTGATTAGCTTGTTTCCTCTCCTCAAATTGTAACTTCCTCCGCAGTCTCGTGACATAACGTTCATGAACCTTGTTCAGAGGAAAGGATGAAAGATCACAATCAGCAGTAGATTCAGTTCACACTTTTTTTGGATATTCTTCAGACAAACAAAAATATATAATACAGAATATGATTCGGTTTCCGAGTATCAACAAGGGCCCATTTGTTTTCTTTTTGATGTAATCGATTGAAAGACAAATCTAAAGGAAAGAAATGGATGAGCAGGAAAGAAAAACTTATCAAGTAAGGGCGAGAAACAAAGGGAGTGTGAAGCTAATAATAGTTGTGCAGAACATCAAAATATTTGCAACATGAATAAAGAAGGCAGCCAGAGGAATCAGTATGGACTCGTACCAGGTAGAGATAAATCAGTGCTGCAAAATAAGCAACGGGGTGGCACCAGTTGAAGGCAGATAGCAACCAAAGCACCAGAAGCACAATGCACGCATGATGCAAGATTGAAATTTCCGTTATATCCATAACTTCCTCTTCCTTCTTCTCTCTTCCTCCAAACCCAAAGTACTGATTGTTGTAGAATGATTGAAGCTCTTAACGCACCGGCTGATTCAGGCCTGCTTTTCAATGCGATATCAACTGAAAGCGTACCCGAAAGATACCTCAAATCTGATCCCCTAATACGACGTCGATGAGCAAAAAGCATGAGGGACAACGTGAGAACAGGAGTTTGATAACAAATGGAGCGAAATTCCAATCAGGCCCTCAAAGTCAAAATGAAAAACCACCAGAGCAAACAATCGAACTGACACATTCTCCATCTCGACAAGAGGACGGCAGTAAAAGGAAATCGATAGAGACCTCAAAGATCAACTCATTTAATCGCAACATGCTTGGGTAAAAATTAAGAGTGGACGACTCCGATTGGACAAAACCGCGTGATGCAGGAAAAGGCGGCGAGGTAACTGACGATCGACGCTGTGCCGAACCGCTTACATAAAGCGGGACTGCGTTGAAAGGTTGACTGCAATATTAAGCCACGCGTCCGGGAAGCGTCTACGACGTGTGCCAATCGACCAATAGGTGTCGGCACGCACACAACAAGCGGCTTCAGATAAGGAACATTTGTCTTGAACCAACGTTTTATATATACACACATACAGCTCTGCTCTCATTTACAAGGTATTGAAAGAGTATTTATTTTAATATTATTTACAGATCATTTCAATAATTATTATATTTATTTTTATTAAATATTAAAAAATTATTAAATATTAAAATATTTTATTTTAAAGTAGTCATATTTGATAGGGATAAAGTTAAACATTTATTTAATTTTTAAATAGGGTTAATAAGGTTTAAATTTTTTTTTAAGTTTGGATAAAAATGTTAAAAGTGATATATAAATAAGATAATAAAAAATATACATGTATGTGTGTGGGAAGAAAATTAGGAATAAAATAGATAGATGGAGTATATGAGAAATAATATTAATTATTAAAAACTAGTCTGGGTAATATTAATTTTTAATTGATAAAATATGATGAAAATTGCATAAAAGGGGGCCTTTTTTATTATAGATTTTTTTATAATATGTGATCATATATTTCAGAGTGATCATGTTACAGATCACCTAATTTAATATTATCCAACCATTCTGGTTTTGGACTTTTGATTCTATGACTGAGGCAACGACTGAAATTTTTATTTTTATTTTTATTTTTAGGGGTAAAAATATCGAAGGAAATCTTCCCTGCGCTCATATTATTTAAGAAATTGTTGATACTAATGATAGTTTCTTTCATGGGATAATCAACCTTTCAATCTTTCAAGTTTGTTTGAATCATTAATTTAATTTTTTAAATTAATTTAGTCTCTTAAGCTTAAAAAATTATCATGTTAGTCATTTAAGATTTAAAACACAAATGGACTTTCATATTAATCTAATATATACAAAATGTTAATAACTTGATATGTATATGTAACTAAATAAGAATAAATCAGCCTTCAAATCAGTTAATTGTTATTAATTTAATCTCGTTACATTTTGTTCTTTTATTTTTAAAAATTTGTGAATATATTTTCCTATCTAAATAATTACACTTTTTTCGTTAATATACAATGGTTGTTATCATATCTCATTACTTATAACCATAGATTTTAATAATGTTTTATTCTTTTTAAACAATAAAGATCCAATCAAAAATTAAGACAAACTTAAGAGATCAAATTAACAAAAATTAAATTTGAGAAACAAAGTTAATAGCTAAGTTCAAGAGACTAAAAATTTCAATATTTCATAGTTTATTAAATGAAAGAAACTCAATTCTTCATGGTTAATGCCACTGTGGTAAATAGCATTGGACACATGGTTCAACTAGTAAGAGAGTTGCACCAATTTAATTAGAGATTTCAAATTTTTAGCTCTAAGGATGAATGACATTGGTGGTAGAACTTTTGCTTGAAAAAATCCTATCCCAACTTGATCTAAATTAGTTTGGCGCCCCATTAAAGTCATCTCACTTGATGAGGGCAAGCCTATAGAATTTCATAATATCAATTTAATTATAATTAGGTCATCTATGAAGAAGATCTTCACATCATTAATAGAATTTGAATCGACCATATTAAAAGCTATAAACCAAATTTGTGCCAATTTTATTCCTGGCCTCTTGCCAATTTTAGTTTCATAATATTTGCTCCATTTAATCTTATTTACAAGTCACTTTTAAGGATAGAAGGGCAAAAATACCAACAAAGTAATCAACCACAGGAACCTAATGTCCTAAAGTGAGAAAAAAGACAAAAATACCTATAACGTTACATGGATGGGTGTAAAAGTGACCAAACCATTAACTTTGACCTAACGCTATAAACTTTAACCGTTAAATATTGACTGTGCATGTCATGTGTCAGTCTTTGCTGACGTGGAGTAATAAAAGTGCAAAAATATCCATGAAGTCATCAACCAAGAGCAAAAATACCCACAAAGTCATAGGTCAGGAGTAAAAATATCCATAACATTATCAAAGTTAGTGCAAAAGTACCAATCCATCTAATCCCTTAAATATTAGCCGTTTAACTGACACCTAAGTAGAAGTTGACTATTTTTTCATTGATGTAGATAAAAAATATTTCCAGATAAATTTTTATGAATGTTGATCGATCATCGTATGAGTACCCATAATGTTACTTTAGAAGGTGTAATAGTAACCAATTGATCAAAATCAATGTTACATGATTTCTTTCCATCGTCATATATCTTGCCCCTTTACTTTCTTTCTCTTTACTCACTTTTCTTAATTGTAAAACCTGAGATTCAACATAGTAAGATAAGTTGTATAAAATTAAAAATTGAGACTAAGCACATCTATCTTAAGAATATTTTCACAACCTTAAATAATTGTATTCATGATAGGTTTAAAATTTTCAAATGGTTTTCACCATCTGCCGCAAAAAATAAGCAATTTAATTTGATATTCAGTCAAAATAACATTTTCTCACATAATATTTATGCAATGATCGATTAACCTCCGAATAATTTCATTTACAAATATTCTTATCTATATTAGTAAAAAAATGGTCAACTTTTGCTTAGGTATTAGCTAAACGATCAACATTTAAGGAATTGAATGGATTGGTGCATTTGCACCAACTCTAGTAACGGTATTGATATTTTTGCTCCCGGTCGATGACTTCGTGGGTATTTTTGCACCTTTAATAGTTCATGTCAGCAAAGGCTAAAACGTGACATACACAGTCAGCATTTAACGATCAAAGTTAATGGTGTTAGGTCAAAGTTAATGATCCGGTCATTTTTGCACCTATCCATGTAATGTTATTGATATTTTTATCCTTTTCCTCACTTTAAAATACTGGGTACTCATGATTGATTACTTTATGAGTATTTTTGCCCATTTATTCCTTTATTAAACATATCATTTTTAAAATATTTTCTCTCTCATGTATTAAATTTTTACTCTCTACTTATTGAAAAATATGAAATATAAAATTAAAATAAAATGATTAATAATCCTTTTTTTTTTAACGAAGTCACTTGTAAAAATTATAAATTTCTTTTTAAAAGTTTAAGGAAGTACTTCCCTTGTTAATTACTATTTCTTCACACATTTTATATTTTTTTGTCTTTCTTTGCGTCACTTGCACAATTATTTAATAGGCATCTACCTACGGTACGGGGAAGGTATAGTAAGCATTAATATTTGGGTCAAACAATCAACACTACTCCCCTCTGTCAAAGTGACACTGAATACATTAATCATGTACTCGAGCACTGTACTTTTGCCGCTAAAGTCTGGAAGAAAATCCTGCCATCTGATTTGTATGCTGAGTTCACTAAGCATGCTACTGATTCGTGGATGCTTGGAGCTTTGAAATCAACATCTCTTGACGACTCCTGGAGGACTGGAAGGTTTCGAAGTTAGGAACCAACGCATTTTTGTTGATGCTACTTAACAGAAGAGGAATTCCTTGTATAAATTAGAGCTTTAGTTAACCATAGTATTAAAGCTTTCTCTGGTTATAAGTCGCTCATATAATTTTGTTTCCCTTTGTTCTTTTGTACGGTCTTTTCATTAATGCATTTCTTTTCACTCCAAAAGTATTTGGGTCAAACAAGGGAAAATCACATTGGCTTTCAGAATGGAAATATTTATAGAAAAGGCTCAATAGATTATAAAATTTTTTTGACAAGTTCAAATGTCTCACTCACAATTATATTCTCGCTAAAATTACCAAATTACCCCTTGCATGATTAGCTACTCACGCCTTAGCATTTTCTTCTTCTCTCCTTGTTTCTCACCCATCCTTCTTTCTCTTCCTCTTGCAACAACGATGGTCGAATGGTGTCGAAGTGTTGCCAGCAACAACGGTGGAGGAATGTCTAAGACCTCACTCTCTAGATGATCCTTCTTTTGACAATCACTTTTGCCTTCTCCCTCTTCTTGTTCACTGTTATTGTAGATGTGAGAATAAGAACGTTCAAGGTTAAGCTGTGGATGTTTTTAAATGTGATAAAATAAATGTTGAAGGTTAAGCTTGCACCTTCATAGGACCTTCAAGTTTTGCAATTTTTTATTCAGATATCACCTTCATTTTTAACAACAGATGTGTGTGTTCTTATGTAGATGTTATTTATGAAGTTTATATTATACATTTGCAATTGTGCAATTTTTCATGTGTGCTATATAGACGGACCTTATATTGGTAATATGTGAATCTTGTTATGTTAATTGTGGATATATCATTGTAAATTCTGTAGGAGTAACTTGCACATTAATTTTAGTTTTGCTAATCACATGAACAATGTATAAAGCATGGCATGAACGAATCGATATTATTTATGAATGTTTTACTATAAATTTCATTTGGATAATTTATACCCTTTTGAGCTATTAAACCACATGAAAATTGTATATAAATGGACTTTTTGTTGTTAATACACAAACATTTTGATGTTATTTATGAATGTTCTGTTATAAATTTTAACACGATAACTTATACATTCAAGTTCTACTAAACTATATAAATAATGTTCAAAGTACAGATCTTGTTATTAATTTATAAACCTTTTGATGTTATTATTATAAATATTTTATTGTAAATTTTATCATGTGGACAATGTATAAAATATGAATTTTGTGTTGTTAATATATGAACCTTGTTATGTTATTTATAGATGTTATGTTGCAATTTAACCTAGGTAACTCATACATCTCGTTGAAAATAATTTTGCATTTTACACCACAATGAGTGTCTTCCAAATATACGCTATAATATTTGCCCCTACATCCATTTACAAAAAAGCAACTTAAGATAGCAAAGGTACAATTGTCGAATAATCCTAGTTGTGATTATATTTTGTTGATTCAATTAGCTAGATCATCCTATTATTTTTGTTTTCCTTTTGAAGCTATTGTGAGTCTCTCTTTCCTCTTCACTCATATCATTTGGTCTGTTAGTTTCTCGTATAGCCCTTTATTTTTCTCTATATACACTATCATGTAAAAACTTTATAGTAGCACATACACGAGGCCATGGCAATTGTGACATCTACCATGTCACCTCTTGTATGAATATGCAACGGACCAATTGATATAAGAAAATGTTTATATACAAAAACTTAACTTTTATTTTCTCAGTTAAATATTCAACATAAATAACAATGTTCATGATTAACTGTAAATATTAACAGAAGGGGATGGTGCCACGTCAAGAAGGGAGGAATAGTGTCATGTGAGCAAAGAGGGGAGAGGGATGGTGTAGCGTCAGCGTTTGTTAGTCAAACAAATATATCTAGCAGTCAATATTAACGATCGGTTAAAATCATATTTTTTTTAAAAAGTTTCAGTGAGAATATTCTAATAAAAATTTAAATAGTAGACATTTTTTATAAAAAAATTTAAAATATTTTTGACCTTTTAAATATAAATAAATGATGAGATCCAAGTTGAAAGGTATGAAATCTTCGTTCATTGAGACAGTTATCATAAATTTTTTAAATTTCAATTTTTCTTCTAAATAAAAGGTTGAAGAGAACATGTCAATGTGTCATCGTCGAAGAGGTCACCAGTGGGCCCATGTATATGATCCGTCATGGATAAGGAGGAGTCGGATCCGGACATTCAGTGGGGGTCATCATAGCTTTGCGAAACTTTAGTAGCTTTTTTTTTTTTTTTTTTTGGCTAAACGGAAACTTACTAGCTAAGCCAACCAAATCCCATGCAACACGGAAATGAATTTGCTTATATTTTCAATTTTAATATCACTTTTGTTAAAAAATATAAAATATTTTTAATTTAATCTTACTATTTAATAAAATAATCATTTATTTTTAAAGTAATTTTTTTTATATTTATCTTTATTAAACACCCTGTAATAAATATAAAGTTTTGACCAAAAAAATATAAAGTTATTATTAATAAAGATATTTTAAAAAAAAGCATTGATTACACTTCGAAAGACTAAAATGCTTTATGCTTCTAAACATTCAACTTCTCAAAAAATATTTTATATTTTTTAATGAAGAGAGTGTATTTTAAAAAGATATATGTTGAATAATACTCTATTCGTTTTAAATTTTAAGGTAATCTTAAAAAATATTATTTTAAAATATAAAATAATTTAAAAAAAATAAAATTTAATTAAGGTTAAAGTATATTTTTGATCTTCTAATTTTATATAATATTTTAATTTTAACCTTTAATTTTGTAAATTATTTTTTTAATATTTTAATTTTAATTTTAAATAATTTTTTTATGTTGATTATTGTTATTTTTAAAAAATATATGAAAATATTTAAAAATATTTTATTACTGTTTAAAAGTTTAATATAAAAATTTGTTAAAAATTAATAACGTTAGAATTAAATAATTAAAAATATTATTTATAAAGTTAGGGAATTAAAATAAAATATTATATAAAATTAAAGAACTTAAATATATACTTTAACCTTTAATTAATTATACTTTTTTAATATTAATTTTTAATATAGATAACATTAAAATGATATTATAATATAATGATTAAATATAGAAAAGTATTTTTTAAAGTTTATAATTTTATTATAAAAATAAATTTATAAAGTATTACTTTTATATTTTATTGACATGTATCATTTTATTTTAAATTGTTTTATAATTTAGAATTGAGTGAGTGTGATTGTACATATCACTTGGCCTTGACGATAGATATACATATTAAAAAATAATAAATAATTCATGGGCCAGGTACCCGTAGCACATCCTCGTTCAATGTCCTATCTTATATGTCCCATGTGATTAGGTGATGTTAGGAGAAGATTAGGTGATGTATATTTTGAGGGTTTTATACACATAATCCACATCATAACATCAAATAAAAAAAATCTATTATTTTTTTAATTTTAAAAATAATCTTTTTAATATTTAATTTATAATTAATTCATAAAACTGTTCTTTTAATATTTACTTTTTGCAAATACCAAGAGATTCAAAAACAAGAAATATCTAGAACCGAACTCAATGAATGCGAGAGAGAAGATGGAGTTGGACGTGAGAGAGACAATTGTGAGACAACAGACCAATGTGAGCGAGCTATAATCATCATCATGAGAAACAAATGCAAGATGAGATATATCATATATTGACGGTACTTAATAGAACGGAGCACATTGGTGGATAAATAGAGCTATAGATTCATAATTTTTTATTTTATTAGTTTAGGTATTTAACTTTGTAATAAACTAAGAGCTCAAAAATTTTTGTGGACTGTATTTGATCTGTTTTAGACAAGTGATTATGTGTTTTTGTGCTACTGATTCGCGATACCTCATCATTGATATGCTACTGTATATCACTAATATACTACTGCATATCAACATAATTAAACAATCAAGCATAAACTTGTAGTATCGCAGATCAGTAACAAGAAAAATAAATAATCATTTGTCTAAAATAAATCAAACACAGTCTGTAAAAAAATTAATGCAACCGAGAGATGTGAAAATGATGAAAATCTAATGGTAGATAATGAATTTTAGCCTAGTCTTCTACTTTCAAAAATGAAGATTCCTTTTTAATGTCTAATATCCTCTTCATAGTGTTCCTGAGAAAAATAAAGAAAGAAAGAGAAAAAAAGGCTCCACAATAAAGAAAAGCACCGGCAATTTTATATTTAGAGAAAAAAAGAAATGATTTAGAGGAAAAAAAAGATTCAATCAATTAAGAATTAATTATAATAAATATATTATGTTTTAATAATAAATTTAATATGAGGATAAAAAAGTAAAATATATCTAATTAATTTCATGAATGGGTCATGTTTTAAAATATTTAAAAATCTCGTTCATAATTTATAAGAGTTGTATTTTTTAAGATTATTGAATTGATTTTCTCATATGTTTTTGTAGTTAGAATATTAAATCTCACAAATATTGAGAAATTCGTGTTACCGATAAGCACTCCATCGATGCGAGTTGCATCATGCAACACAAAGACTTGTCCTATGACTTATAACCCTCCATTTAATTTTTTCCCCCCATTTCGTCGAAGCTTAAAGTCGTGAAGTTATTTTTTGGCTCTTGTCGGTTGGTGATCATGAATGAGGAAAAAGACATTTATCTGCATATTTATAGAGACGACAAATTGCCATGAGTTAAGGGGCTCTTAGCCTTAGAAGGAGGAGGAGATCTCTATACGCGAAGAGAGGGACACGATATACCATTTAAAACCTGTAATAATAAAAATCATTAAATTGATCTAAAGCTCCAACATTGAGTTACAATGCCATAATGTGCCAATAATCAATAAATTATTTGATTCCGGGAAGAGATACGTGTTCGTAAGAAATTAATTTCTACAAAAGAACAATTAGAAAAGAGCAACATGCAATTTAATTAAATCAAGAGAGGGGGAGCGAGCGATTTCTTCTCTATTTTTTAAATGGTTAATATACAATTTGAACTTTAAATTATATATTCAGAGGTGATTTGAATTTCAAATTTTTATTTAGTACATTATAAATCTTAAATAATTAAATTTAGGATAATTTCACCTTTGCTGTCGAATTTAAACAAATGATGTTGCTTTTTTAAAAAATGAGGTCTAATGTGTTATTTTACTTAAAGAAAGGTAGGAGAGAGGGATAATGAAATTTGATAAAAATTGCACACTAGATCCCACTTTTAAAAGTAATTTCTGTTCATTTAAATTCGATGAAAAGTGCACATTTAACTTCATTTTTTAAAAGTAACTGTCGTTTGTTTAAATTTAATAATGGGGTGAAATTATTCTAATTTCAATTATTTAGAGTTTAAAATGTACTTTCTCCGTGTAAAAATATAAAATATTTTTTGAAGCGTTGGATATTAAAAAATGTAAGATATTTTTAATCTTTTGAGGTGTAATCATTGTATTTTTTTTTTCCAAAAAGCCCTTACTGATAGTAACTTTATCTTTATTATAGGGTGTTTAATAGGAATAAATATAGAAATATAGGATTAGTTTAAAAATAGGTAACTATTGTATTAGAAGGTGAGATGCGATTAAAAATACCTTACATTTTTAAATTGATGGAGTGTCAAATAAAAGTTAAGATTTAAATTACCCTTGAACCTTTAATTCATAGTTCAAATTATATATTGAATTTTTTAAAAAAAAAATTTGGAGTGAGGGATGTTGAGGGTTTTTATAAGAGAATGGATGCTCTAAATTTAATTTGTGAATTTCATGAAATTTGTCTGTTTATAAAAGTAAGAAAATATTTTATATTTTATTAAAAAAATAAAACATGGTAAAAAATAAAAAAAATTATAGACATTCATGAACCTCAATCTTAGAAGATTAAGTCCTTTCAGTAAAAAAAAAAATTGAGAAAAATGAAATCTTGATTGATTTAATTAATAAGAGAGTTATCAAATATTTTCAGCTTGGGCCTTAAAAATACAATGACGTTTACAGTGAAGTTTTCATTTGAAGGGATTCATCCTCATTTAATATGGATTAGCATACAAGCCTTGGTTTAGTCTCATTAATTTGATTTGATGTGAGATAGACTCATGATATCGGATAATTTAGACAAAAAAGAATAAATGGAAGAAAGGAGAGGAGATGCATTTCACCATCTTCTTCTCTTTTCCTTTAATCAAATAACACTTCATTAAACTCCTTATTTTTTTTCCCCATTTCCTTTCTCTCGCCTCCCACAACATATTGATTATTGAACCAAAATAAGGATAATTAAAATATCTCCCCATTTTCCAAACCTCCCTCTGCTAAAATTCCTCTCATTCTTTTCACCGTTCTCAATCAAACAGGATTAAGAACACATGAGAGCAAAACAAAGAACAGGTAGTCAACGAGTGTCACGTGGTAGATTCCTGTTTCACCGGTTGATAGATAGATTGCCTGCAAATTCTACTTAATTGAGTATTCACCCTTCACTTCTCACACTTTTCTTTGTGCTGCAACACTCACCCAACTAACTCCCACACTGCTTGCACTTACCGGTCGTCGCTTTGAAGCATCCGCAAGACGATGAGCGAAGACGAAAAGTTAAGCAAAGGCGGAGATTTCTCCGGCCAACAATATCCCAGCGCGCCGCCTCAATATGGCACATTCTATCCTCCTCCTCCTCCGCCGGCACCACACCCGACGACTGGCTTCCCCGAACCTGTGCCTCCGCCGGGCTTCGTTCAGCCCCCTCCCCCTCCTCCTCAGTATTATGCTCAGGACTACCAAGCTGTTCCCGGTATGGTTAGCACTTTCATTCCCTGTGTTTCAAAATCAATGCGTGGCTGATGATTTTCTATTCGAACATTTTGATTTCTGCGAAAGCAAGATTTAAGATTTCTGAAATAATACTGATTATACTGATAGGTACATGGCTTTGGTTCGTCCTTGTTTGTGTTATGTTGTGCTGCACGCTTTAGTTTCTTCTCTGTGATTGATTGCTCAGAACAATAAAATTTTATATTTTGGCTTTATCTAATTTTATTAAAATAATCGTAAACCTGAGGCAGCTGGGATCGAGAAACTTGACAATTCGTGTAATGCACGAGAAAACTGTTTTTGTGTCTTATTCAGAACAAACACGAATCCACAGTTTTACGAGCTTCTTCTTCTTCTTCTTCTTCTTTTGGGTGAATTTGCAGACATATTATCATGTCAAATCCTTGAAAGTTTAGATTTTTATTTGCACACATCGAAGAAGAAATGTAACAGGAATCTCTCCCAAGGGTGTACTCAAGTGGGTACCACTCAATTTCTTATCTCTCGCCTTCTCTGGTTTAAATCAGTTGCTTCACTCGTTTTGTTGGATTAGTTAGAATGATTAGTGTTAATTACTTAATTGTTGATGATCCTAAAATCTATATAAAGGATATCATATTTCATTAGATGTTAGGGTTGGAAGTTAACAAAGGTTCTCACCTCATTGTTTTTACAGCAAAGTGGTTCTGGGGTTTATTTTTCAAGTGAAGGATTATATTGTAATATTCAATAATCATCATTAAAGAATGTGTTCATTTTCTTTTTCCCATTCAACTCTTTGTAATCTTAACACGTTTAACTTGATAAATTTAGCAAACTTACATGAGCATTATGTGGTTAATATTTATAATTAATTTCATAATCAATCAAATCTGAAGTTACTACGACCGCTCATTGCTGAATCTTACAGCAGATCATTGCTGAATCTTACAGCGTTATGTTGTTCTGATATTGCCCAAGCTATGTTCAGTCCTTCAACGTTAGACAGGAATTCTTAAAATGTGCGAACGGTCTATGGACATGCATTGGGAGAGACACATCACTCCATAATCCATTGTTCCCCTCACTACATTATGAAAATATGGTTTCAGGGTATCCCATTGTTGAAGGAAGACCGGCAAGGCCACGGCGTCTCCGTTGTTGTGGTCTTGGCTGTGGCTGGTGCCTGTAAGTAAATTCTCTGTCAAGTGTTTCATTCATATCTTTGGAGCTGCCTTCTGCTGTTTTCTCATTCAATTTTCTTACTGTTGTTAAATTTGATATATGTGTTAGAGATGATATGCTGATTGATTCCTGAGAATCTGTGGTGTGGTGTGAAGGTTTATATTAGGATTCTTCCTGGCTGCAATCCCATGGTATGCTGGGGCAGTGGTTCTGCTTTGTTCCAGAAGATACGGAATGGACAACAGAGAGAAACCTGGATTTCTTGCTTGTTTTGTTGCGGTGAGTCATTCTAATTCCTCCTTCCTCATGTGTTTGTTCAGAGAAATTAGTTTCTTTTGTCTGAAAATTGCTCCTGCTCTCATCAAATGATTATGATATTCAAGATTTTCATATAAATTATACAGTTAAATAAATTGTTTTTAGAAAAAAATTGAAGACACTGATAAATGTATTTAATTGAATGAACAATAATGAAGTGGTTTGTTATTTCTGTTTCAACCAAACGGTGATGAACTTGAGTTTTTATGGTTGAGTCAGTGTCACAGTAAGTAACTTACTCTTCGATCTTTTATATAAAGTGTTTTGAAATTTTTTTAAATAAATTAAGAAAATCTATATTGTTTTATTTGTTAAAAAATATTCGAATATTTGAATTATATCCTCATTAATTAAAAGGAACACCATGATGCCTTGTTCAAGTTACAGGAAAGCTATTCAAATCATAGGAATAAAGATGAAACATTGTTTAATATTTGGACTAGACAGCTTATAATTTAGATTAATTTTTATTTTTAAAGGAACTTCATACATACATACATATATCATCAACATATATATATATATATATATACAAATCTTGTAAAAGATCACTGATTGGTCATAATCTCTTTGATGCTATTGGTCAATTAACTTTGGTTAAATTTTAATTCTCTTCATTTATTGGTTTATTTTATTTGTCATGTATTTCATTATTAAATTTTAAATATAAAATTTAAGTTTTACGAGAGCAGTAACTCCATACATTTTAGCCTTTTCATTTATCTTGCATCTCTTAATATTCTTCAATCTCTATTTTTAAGAATTCATGTATCTTATTATTAAATTTTAAATATAAAATTCAAGTTTTACTGGAGCAGTAACTTCATTCGTTTCAGCTTTTTCATTTATCTCGCATCTCTCAGTATTCTCCAGTCTCTATCTTTAAGAATTCATGTATCTCATTATTAAATTTTAAATACAAAATTTAAGTTTTACGGGAGTAGTAAGTTCATCAGTTTCAACTTTTCCATTTATCTCATGTCTTTTAATATTCTCTTGTCTCTATCTTTAACAATTCATATATGTCGTTATTAAATTTTAAATATAAAATTAAAGTTTTATGGGAGCAGTAACTCTGTCCGTCTCAACTTTTTCATTTATCTCACATATCTCAATATTCTTTAGTTTCTATCTTTAAGAATTCATGTATCTCATTATTAAATTTTAATAACTTCATCTATCTCAGCTTTTTCATGGAATGCCAATGGTATGAGTTTGAGTATTTAAGGAAGTTTGTTGTACCTCTTGGCGAGTATCTTTGTTAGCACTTATATTGGATGATAGAAAATTCAATCTTTTCAAACTATATTTGTAATTTATTATATGTTTGAGAAACAAAGACAAAATGTATATGAACAAAATATTCAAGAAGAAGGAAAATGATTAAATAGAAGAATTTTCAAAAATTTAATAATATTAAATGTGTCGATATAAATAGTATTCAGGGTGTTTGTTTCAAATTTTTTAAATCCAACTTGTGCAATGCATGATAAACTTTCTAATTATTAATAAATCATGACCGATGTGGCTCATTGTGGATAATGATCATCATGTGGGTTTAACAAAAAACTATTGGGCTGGTTTTGCAGGCTGTGATCGCTACTATTGTTATTGTTATTGCTGTGACGAAGGGAACACATGTCTGGTAATTTTCGTCACTAAGGATGTGCTTTGTTAGTAAAGATGTGAAGGAAGCTAAGACCTTATCATGTGTGCCTCCACATTTATATGTTGTTTTCTTGGAAAACATGTTGTAAGAGATTTAACAAAAATTCAGATGCTACCTTAGTTTATTGCCAAATAAGGACTCATGTCATGGACGATGGAACCACGCACTTGGCTTACGATGTAGCAGGCCTAAAATATACACGATTAAATTAATGCTACTTGTAAATTCAATTATTAGAAACACGTTCTATGTGCCGGAATCCTGGCACATCCACATCAACAAAATCCGAGGCATGTAATTCCTTGTATTCCCCTACTGATAATATTTTTTAAACTATTTGTTTGTTTGGAGAAATATCCAATGCCTTTCTTTTTTAAAAAAGTTGGTCGACAAGAACATTGGACACTCACATGATACAAAAAAAAAAAATAATGATTAATAAATAAATAAATAAATAAATAAGTTGAGCGTAAGACCCGCTATACATCTCTCCCTCCTCCACGATTACATATTTACATGTAACATGATTTCAGATTTTTTTTTGGGGCTAAAACAAATTTTATTTGTCGAGGTAGCAAACAATGCTTTCTAACAAGTCGTAAATCACTGGACAAGGAAATTAATTTAAAGCTGAAGAAAGAGATGGGGAGAGAGAGAGAGCCACAAATCAATAATTTGTGTTTTGGTCAACCACAGCAATATAAAGATCAACCCAGTTCTGTTATAACAAGGTATACTTCCAGCCCCACCCTGTTCTCTTCCCGTGCAGCCATGGCAGCCCAGGTGAATTCCATTATTGCTGGTATGGTTATGGCTATGGTAGTGATCGTGATGGTGATTGCAAGAGTGGTGAATAGGGTGTGGCAGAGGCCTAAACGACTTGAGAGATGCCTCAGACGACAGAACCTCAACGGCAACTCGTACAGACTTGTGTTCGGAGACTTGAAGGAGATGGGTCGCATGATTGAACAAGCCAAATCTAAGCCCATCTCTATAGATGATGATATTGTTCCTCGTATCATTCCTTTTCATCATCAATTGTTTCAAAACTATGGTATGCCCCTTCCTATGTTGACAGTTGACCCTCACCCCTCATGATATATGCACTGTTCCTTATTGTTCATTGCATTAATTGGAAGTTTATATGCACAAGCCCCTCGGTGATGAACTAGTTAAACACATCCTAATGTTTTTCAATGATATATAGCTTGACTCCAACATAATAGAATATTAATAACTGTCAAGTAAGAACTCGTTTTGGTGGTTTTGTCTCTATTGATTTGTTTTATTGTAGGCATGAATTCCTTTATGTGGTTTGGTCCATATCCAATGGTGACAATTGCAAACCCTGAAGACATAAAGGAGGTTTTCAACAACATTTCTGTGTTTGAAAAGCCACCTAACAATCCACTGGGTAAACTTCTAATTACCGGCATATTAGACTACAATGGAGAAAAATGGAGTAAACACAGAAGAATTGTCAACCCTGCCTTTCATCTTGAGAAGTTGAAGGTACATTAGTTTCTTTCTATCCTGGCCTAATTAAGTGCCTTTTTCCAATGATTGAAAATTATGTCTCTGTGATCTTTTTTATTCAAAGCTTAACAAGAAGTTTGTGGCAGCTGATGTTACCAGCATTCTATGAGAGTTGTAATGAAATGGTAAAGAAATGGGTGAGATTGGTGAGTGAAAGTCAGAGAGACTATTGTGAGATAGATGTGTGGCCTTTCTTTCAAAGCATGACTGGTGATGCCATATCCCGAACTGCTTTTGGAAGCAGCTATGAAGAAGGTCAAAAGATATTCCAACTCCAATCTGAACAAGCTATTCTTACCATCAAAGTCCTTCAATCTGTTTATATCCCAGGTTGGAGGTAATTTGAGTTACATTTCTTATAATTTGAACTGTCTTCACCCTGCTAGTTTTACTTGAAATTCAAATTGAATAAAAACTATTGGGAAACTATAACTTTGGGTTCTTGTACTTTGCTTACGTTTTGCTATAGATTCTTGTCCCTAAATGAACAAAGTGTAGGGACATTGAAGGGATCTAGAATATCGAAAAACAAAAGTGTAAGCACCTAGAACATTGAGAAAAAAAATGTAAAGACCTATTGCAAAACACAAGTAAAGTGTATGAATCTAAAGTTATGTTTTTTTAAAAATGTTAGTATATTGATCACTTTCATTATGTCTAAATTGCGTTTGTATAGATTTGTGCCAACTAAGCTGAATCGGAGATTGAAAGAAATTGAGAAGGAAATACAAGCATTAGTGAGGGGAATCATTCAGAAAAGGGAAAAGGCTAGGGAAGCAGGAGAGGCCCCAAGTGATGATTTATTAGGTATACTTTTGGAATCCAATTGCAAAGAAATCAAAGACAAAGGCAACAAGAATAATGTGGGAATGAGCATTGAGGATGTCATCAAGGAATGTAAATTGTTCTACTTAGCAGGACAAGAGACAACCTCTGTACTCCTTAATTGGATGATTGTGTTACTTTGCAAGTATCCCAATTGGCAATCTCAAGCAAGAGAAGAAGTCTTTCAAGTATTCAGCACTCAAACACCTGATTATGATGGCTTAAATCGCCTTAAACTGGTATGATTATATGAATATGTTGTTTTATTATTTTTTATTGATTCCATGTTATTTAGAAGTATCATTATTATTTTTTTATTACACTTGATTTTGTGTGTGTGATAGGTAAGTATGATATTATACGAGGTTCTTAGGCTATACCCTCCAACTCCTATGTTGACTAGGGCTGTGTCAAAGGATACAAGGCTTGGAAATATGAATTTACCAGCTGGAGCTCTAGTTGGGATTCCAGTAATTCTAGTGCAACGAGATCCTCAGTTGTGGGGGAAAGATGCAAAGGAGTTCAATCCACAAAGATTTTGTGAAGGAATCTCTAAAGCAACTAAGAGCCAAGGTTCATATGTTCCATTTGCTTGGGGTCCAAGGGTATGCCCTGGCCAAAATTTTGCTTTGCTTGAAGCAAAAATGGCTCTGTCCTTAATTCTCCAAAACTTTTCTTTTGAGCTTTCTCCATCTTATGCTCATGCCCCTTTCTCTATTTTGACCCTTCACCCTCAATATGGCACTCATATCATTTTGCGAAAACTCCAAAATTATTAGTTAAAGTTTCATCATAACACACTCTTGGAGGGAATTTTATGCATGTCTTGGTGTGTGAAAGAGTTGGTTGTTCATAAATCACAAGAATGTAATGTGATTCATTTAATGAACTCTATTTAGTAAGGTAAAGCTTCTTGTTGTTTATATTTCGATGTCATGACAATATGCATGTATATATATTTTTTGTAATGAATAAATAATCATCCTTATATTCCACAAAGTCATATGCTTATAGATATGGATGCCTCAATTAGTTTGTTCTTTGTTTTAATTTTTTTTTTGTATTTAGAAGAAAATCTTTTGTTTTTTGATTCATATTTACTAAAGAAGAAAAGGTTCTTCCAAAAGGGGATATGAGGGGAGGGATTGGGAGAGGAACTTGGTCAACATCTTGGTCCTCCTTTGCTCTTTATTTGCACACAAACAAGTCTCTTTAGAAGTTTGTAGATGGACATTGACAATGACTCATTTTTACAAGAGCAAATTCTCTAATTTTGTGAAGATTTTTTTAATTATTTTTTATAAACAAAAATTCTCTCTTTTTAAAAAAGATAAACTTATATAGTTAATGGATTTTCAACTTCAAAGAATTCATTCCCCAATTTTATCCAAAATTTCACCTTCCGTCCCCTTTATACAATTTCCAAATCTTTCCTTGCCTTAAAATACCATTTCTATACCTTCTTCACCTCAGAAATCATAGACTGCATTCAATTAGACTTAGTTAACACCAATAAAAAGAAAATTGGATGTTACAATGCACCCACTCCTCATCAAAATGAAAATCAAAATAAAAAAAATTAATAATAAATAGAGACAAATGCAAAGCACAAAGAACCAGAAGACGAACAAAATCATTTTAAAAATCAGCTGAGTAAGCCAATACAAACCCGTAACTATTTAAAAGATAAAATTGTTTTTACCATATTTCCACAGTAAACTCCCATGAAGGTTTCGGTCAAGGAACCAAAAAAAAAAAAAAAAAAAAAATCTCATGAAGGTGGTCTGCAAGACACGAAATTCATTTGAACGGCTCACGAGAAGAGCAGCTCATGAAGGATCCACAAAAAAAGAAAAAAAAAAAAAAGCAACGTGGAAAAGGCGGGGCCACAGAAAGCTTATTTTGACATTTTGTTATTCTAAAATTCCAATGTGTTTTGGCATTTCCTTCTTGATTTAGGACGAAGGAGGGAAACCAAAGTTATGAATAAATAGATAAGGTCACTAAATAATTTAAGAAATTGAAGAAAAATATTTACATGTATAAATAAATTATGATCATTGTGTGATGCAACAAGAAAAAATATATATTTACAAGAAGAGATAAATAAGGGAAAAATGTATTTATAAGTATTGGCCCAGAATGGTTGTTGGCCTCACCAGGTAAGTGCCAAAAACGGTTCATTTTTTAATCCAAACAAAAAAAAAAAGAATAATAATAAAAAGCCATTGAATGACAACCATCCAAAGGAAAATGAATAAAAAAAGGAAAAAACAAGGAAGAATAAATTAAAAAATACCTCTAAAACATGCAAATGACAAAGAAGTATCACAAAATGTGATAATTATTATGTAGTTCCTAGAGACTTGTCCAGCATATTTGTTTTTGACAAAAATTAACAAAAAAGTACTTGTAATTTGCTATCAAATTTTAGTCATCATATCCATTGTAATAGGAATTGGATGAGGCTTAAGGAGGTCATAGTTTCTCTTAAACACAGATCCTTTATTTGCTCCATCAGGTCCATTAGATTCGATCTTGTTTTCTGCCCAAACCACATAAGCGAATTCTTCACATTTGTTACAAGTTAAGTTTGGCGAATGGGAGAGAGAACACCATATATATTATTGTTCTTCACAAAACAATAAAAATCAAGCATGTCAAAAATGTGGAGTCTCAAATATAATAATAACGTTTTTAAGTTCTCTTACCTCAGTTCACATAGATATAAAGAAGCACAGAGATTTAAATAGAAGGTGTATGAAGAAGCACAGGGATTTAAATAAAAGGTGTTTTTAATTAATGATAATATAAAGTATAGAGTTGCACTGGTTACAACTTGAAAACTAGAAATAAATCTAAGCCTAAATTGGGAATATAAGGTAAATAATTTGGGGAAAGCTAATAAGGTCAATAATTTGGGAAAAGCTAATAACTCTGGTGTACTGTCTTTTTGGTGATGATCATGATGATGGTATAATGGTCTGCTTGAACACCTTTTATAAGTGTTCATCTTAAACTGTTGAGATGAAGAATCTGAAGCTTATTTGCGAAATATTAGTAACCATTTAGCACGGTTCTGTGAGATTCATGACACATCAGATAACGATGCCATGTCAACTTAACGGTCCTTAACATCTAGTCATTTCGAGCCCTAAGGATCACGTCGAGTACGTGCGTGGTGTGACTCTTCTTTTGAAAATGGACCAAGCTTTGTTTACATTTGAATATCGGGGTTGTTGTTTCATCTAACTTCCTCTTTATGATTTTGGGATGACATTTCGTTTTAGGCTCAAACAATTTTGACCTTACCATATGTTTGAATGATAAGGTTCGTTTGGAGGTTTTTAGCAACATTTCTATATTTGAAAAGCCTACTACAAGGATGAAAAATGGATGAAACACAGAAAACTTATCAACCCTAGCTTTCATTTGTGATAGTTAAAGGTATAATTTCTTACTTTCTTTGCCTTAATTCTCTTAAGCGTAATTTTCCTTTTTCTAATTGCTAACAATTATGTTTATATGAAATGTGTGATTCAAAGCTTAAGTTCGTGGCAGTTGATGTTACCAACATTCTATGAGAGTGTAACAAAATGGTAAAGAGATAGTTGAGACTAGTGAGTGAAAATGAAAGGGGCTGTTGCGAGGTAGATGTGTGGCCTTTCATTCAAAACATGACTGGTGAAGTTATTTCTTGAACTGCTTTTGGAAGTAGCTATGAAGAAGGACAACGAATATTCCTACTCAAATCTAAACAAGCTCCTCTTACCCTCAAGGTCCTTCGTTCTATTTATATTTCAGGATGAAGGTAACTAGTTTGAGAAAATTTAGTATTAAAATTCTTTACCAAAAAAGTTTATTATTATATTAAAGTCATATCTGTCTTAAAGTCTTAGTAAATTATTAGATATGGCGACAATGTTGACTGATTTACATTGTGTGTCAAGTGGGGTTTGCATGAATTGACTAAGCCTTTTGACTTAGTAAGTTATGTTAGCTCCTGCTGTACAAATACATTGAGGAGCATCAATGGTATAGCTTTGTATCCTTATCATAGCACCCTCCTTTTATTTTTAGACAGATGGAAGCTTTAATGGTCTTGCTGCAATAATGGAAAAGTTTTTTCTAACCCCTTAAGTATATACTCTTTTTGACAAACCTTCAAGATCTTTAGTTACAAAGAAGATTCCATATGGACAAAGACATAAAGCCTTCAATTTTTAGATTCTTTATCTCTTGTAACGCAACAAGCAATTGATTCCAAGATATATTATTATTCGAGACAACAGCACAATTTTTTTTTTAAGTCGTAAATCACTGGACAAAGAATTAATTTAAAGTTGAAGAAAGAGATGGGGAGAGAGAGCCACATCAATAATTGTGTCTTATTCAACCACAGCAACATAAAGATCAATGGGGTTCCTCTGTAGACATTAGACCTATCCAACTCTGTTCTCTTCTTGTGCAGTGACAGAAGCCCCACTGAATTCCATTATTGCTGGTATGCTTATAGTTGTGATGGTGACAGTGATAGGAAGAGTGGTGAATTGGGTGTGGCTGAGACCTAAGCAACTGGAGGGATGCCTCAGACGACAAAACCTTAGGGGAAACTCATACAGACTTGTGTCTGGAGATTTGAAGGATATAGGTCACATGGTTCAACAAGCCAAATCTAAGCCCATCTCTTTAGATGATGATATTGTTCCTCGTATCATTCATTTTCATCATCAATTGATTCAAAGCTATGGTATGCTTCCCTTCATATGTTGACAGCTGACCTCCCATTCTCACTTTTGTCTAATAATTAAGATAGTTTATTTCACTTTTCCCTTATCTCTAGGTGCCATATGCACTGATCCTCATTTTTTTCATTGCATGAATTGAAAGTTGATATGCACAAGTCCTCACTGCTGAACTAGTTAAACCCATCCTAAGAAGTTTCAATGATATATTGCTTGACTTCGAAAAAATAGAGTATTACTGTGTGCATCAAGTAAGAATTCATTTAGGTGGTTTTGAATCTCTATGGATTTATTTTATCGTAGGTATGTATCCCTTTATGTAGTTTGGTTCATATCCAATGGTGACAATTACAAGCCCCGAAGACTTAAAGGAGGTTTTCAGCAACATTTCTGTATTTGAAAAGCCACCTAACAATCCACTGGGTAAACTTCTAATTAGCAGACTATTAGACTTAAATGGAGAAAAATGGAGTTGACACAGAAGAATTATCAACATTGCTTTCCATCTCGAGAAGTTGAAGGTACATTTTCCTTCTATCTTGGCCTCGAGTACCATTTTCCAATGATTGAAAATTATGTTTGTGTCTTTGTGATTCAAAGCTTAACAATAAGTTTGTGGCAGCTGATATTACCAACATTCTCTAAGAGTTGTAATGAAATGGTAAAGAAATGGGTGAGATTGGTGAGTGAAAGTCAAAGGGACTATTGTGAGATAGACGTATGGCCCTTTTCTTTCAAAGCATGGCCAGTGATGTCATTTCTTGAACTACTTTTGGAAGCAGCTATGAAGAAGGCCAATAAATATTCCAACTCCAATCTGAACAAGCTCTTCTTACCATCATGGTGATTCGTTCTCTTTATATCCAAGGCCGAACAGATTTGTACTACTTTGAAATCCTAGTAGGTTTAATGTCCTACTTTGATTGCATCCTGCTCATGCATGTACAGATTTGTAACAGCTAAGCTGAACAGGGGATTGAAAGAAATTGAGAAAGAAATACAAGTGTTAGCGAGGGGGAATCACTCAAAAAATGTTGAAGGCCAAGGAAGCATGAGAGGCCCCAAGTGATGATCTATTTGGTATACTTTTGGGATCCAATTGTAGAGAAATCAAAGACAACGACAACAAAAAGAACATGGGAATGAGCATTGAGGATGCCATGAAGGAATGTAAATTGTTCTACTTAGCAGGACAAGACACAACCTCTGCTCTCCGTAAGTATCCCAATTGGCAATCTCAAGTAAAAGAAGAAGTCTTTTAAGTATTCGGCACTCAAGCACCTGACTATGATGACTTAAGTCGTCTCAAACTGGCAAGATTATATGGATACAAATAATAATATTGAACATATTATGTCAGAATAATAGTTAACATATTTATGTGCGAGCAATAGTTAAGCATGATACTGTACAAGGTTCTTAGGTTATAACCTCCAGCACCTATAGTCTACAGGGTCGTAACAAAGGATACAAGGCTTGGAAATCTGAGTCTACCACCTGGAACTTGAGATGGGATTCCAATAACTTTAGTGCAGTAGGATCCTCAATTGTGGGGAGAAGATGTGCATCTAAAGCAACCAAAAGCCAGGCCTCATATCTTCCATTTTCTTGGGGTCCAAAGATCTGCGCTGGCCAAAACTTTTCTTTGCTTGAGACTAAAATGATTCTATCCTTAATTCTTCAAAACTTCTTTTTTGAACTTTCTCCATCTTTTGCTCATGCTCATTTCTTGATTTTGATGCTTTGCTCAGTATGGCACCCACATCATGTTACGGAAGCTCTAGAATTATTAGTTAAAATGTTTATCATCTTACCATCCTGGAAGGAATATTATGAGGTGGGTATGTACACATTTAAGTCATGAAAATATGCATGTATACACACACACACACACACACACACACACACACACACTCTGTACTCATTGAATAGTTATCATACCATCCATATTGAACTATATACAGTGTTCTATGCTTCTAGATGGCTCAACTAGTACGTTTTGAATATGTAGACTAGAATGTCATATGTATATCTGACGAAAATTCAAAGGAGTAGGAAAAGTTCCTTCATATATATCTGATAAAAATTCAAAGTCATACATATCAGTAATCAAAGTATCCCTGCACTCTACTTAATAATAAAATTAAAAAAATTCAAATAATAATAATATAAAAAATTACGATTTTAATTTATTTTATAAGCAAAAAATATTTTTTCCGATGAGAAGGAGAAGAAATAACTATGAAGAAACAGAATGCATAAAAGCTAAACTAGAGAAATACTCAATAATTATTTTCTTCCAAAATACATTTTCATATATGAAAAAAAATCCTACAAACAAAATTAATATTTTAAAAGAATTACACAATCTTAACACGTACTTTTTATAATCACAAAAAAAATTTATTACATAAAATATTTCAATAAAACAGCCCTGGCCTCCCATTCGTAGGAAAAATTGGACCGCCAAGGCGACACGCTAGTTGACGCTATCTAAGTCATTTGTTTAAATCAACTGATTTATAATTGAAGTGGAAAATGGTGACAATTTGGCCAAAAACAAAACAAAAATGGCAAGACTTTTATAGTTAGTATTATATATGTAATATATTTTTAACCAATCAAATCAATTCATTTCTTGCTTCTAATTCAAAGTCGTGGCGTAATGTATATCCTGGGTTCCTGTAATGAAATAGATGAAATAAATAAAAAACAATTTTTTGGTCAAAAATGAAATCTCATTAAAACTGTCCGGTTTATCATTCAGAATTACATCACATCCCGAATATGATAAATTGAGAAGGCATTTTGTAAATACATGATTATCTTAAATATATTAACTATTTTTCAATTTTCAATACAAGTTTTTCCCATAAAGAAAATGGTGACAAGGGTGTAGGGGAGATTAATATTGGACCAAAACCAAAAATCAAATCAAATTTGTGTCATTTGATTCAATTTATTTAGTTTTTTTATTTGATTTAGCTTTCTTTTTAAATATTTTAGTTGATCAGTTTGATTCTATCAGTAAAATTTAAAATTGAATGGACTAAACTAACTAAAATATTATATATATAATTTATTAATTTATAAATTATATTTAGTATATTAATTACTTTATTTTATTTTATTCTTTTTACCTTTATACTTAAATAAAAGTAAACGTATAATTTGATAAGTTAAAATTCTAACCCTTCATTAAAATAAGTTACTATCAATTTATAAGCTCAATTTTATTTATAAGTTTTGTTTGTTTTAATAGAAAAAATAATAAAATTGGCTCAAGTTTGCGGAGCCCAACTTGAAGCCACAAACTGAATTAACTGATTGAACCGAATTGTCAAATTTAAATTTAGTTCTTGTTTTGGTTTCGTTCGATTCATACTTTTAGTATTGTTCGATTTATTAATTTTATATATTTTGGCATCAAAACGAATTGACTGATACTCACCCTATAAGGGTGGAGACTTGAGCGCAATGGCAATAAAAAGAAGAGAAAAAAAAAATTATATTTAAGTTTCACAAAAAAAGAATTTATTATAAAAATATTTTATAAAATTTTTAACATACCCTCAAATCTTAAATCATGTACATTTACAACTGGACAAATGAAAATTATAATTGAGTAATAGACATTTACAACTTATAAAAAAAAATAACAACTTATAATAATAAGTTGTAAATGTCTATTGACTATTTGTGAATGCCCTTTATTAAATTATAAATGTACAAGATTTAAAATTTAAAAATATTTTATAAATTTTATAAGATTATTTAATAATAATTTTTTTATGTAAAATTTAGGTGTAATTTTTCAAAATAAAACAACCCATTTTTTTAGCTGAATAAAATCACCAATTCATTATTCAATCCGCTCTTGTTGACCCCAAAAAAGGAACGATCGAAAAGTCGGGACCAGTGTCCCTATTCTTCAAAACACTTAATTCTAGTAATTAATATATTGTCAAGAGTGGGAGTACACGTCACGCATGCGGAATCCATTGACAATCCACCATCCTGTCTGTTCAATCTGATCTCTTGCTGTGCGGCCATGGAAGCTCCAGAAATACCGTCACTGAGTGCAGCAGATTCCATTTTTGATGCTGTGATTATAGCTGTGATAGTGGTGATAGTTGTAGTGATAGTGAGAGCGGTGAGTTGGGTGTGGTTGAAGCCTAAACGACTTGAGAGATGCCTCAGACGACAGAACCTCAAGGGAAACTCCTACAGACTTGGGTCCGGCGACCTGAAGGACATGGTTCGCATGATTGAAGAAGCCAAATCTAAGCCTATCTCTTTAGATGATGATATTGTTCCTCGTATCATTCCTTTTCATCACCAAATGATTCAAAACTATGGTATGCCCCTTCATATGTTAACCCCAAATTCTCACTTTTATCCTGTTAAACAGTTTTTTTTTCCCCATCACTGATTTTCTGTTTAAAGTATTATTTTTATAGTGACGTGGTCTTTGCATGACGGATAAACCTTACTCTATGCCATATGCACATGCTCCGTATTGTTTAGTGCATTCATTAATAACAGTAATTCATATGTCGCCACTGAACTCATTGAGCCCATACTAATATGTTCTTTTGTTGGGTAAACGCAATACCGCATACTAGTATGTTTTAATGATATGGAGTTTGACCCTGAAAAATAATTCATGACCCTGTGCAGGTAAGAATTCCTTTATGTGGTTTGGTCCATATCCAGTGGTGACAGTTGCAAACCCAGAAGACATAAAGGAGGTTTTTAGCAACATTTCTGTATTTGAAAAGCCTACTGGTAATCCACTCACTAAATTTCTAGTCACCGGGCTATTAACATACAACGGTGAAAAATGGATGAAACACAGAAGAATTATCAACCCTGCCTTTCATTTGGAGAAGCTAAAGGTATATTTTCTTGCTTTTTATGCCTTAACTCTCTCAAGGATAATTTACCTTCTAATTATTAGTAATTATGTTTGTAAGAACTGAGATTCAAAGCTTAAGTTTGTGACAGCTAATGTTACCAGCATTCTATGAGAGTTGTAATGAAATGGTAAAGAGATGGTTGAGATTGGTGAGTGAAAACGAAAGGGGCTGTTGCGAGATAGATGTGTGGCCTTTCATTCAAAGCATGACTGGTGATGTTATTTCTCGAACTGCTTTTGGAAGCAGCTATGAAGAAGGACAACGAATATTCCAACTCCAATCTGAACAAGCTCTTCTTACCATCAAGGTCGCTCGTTCTGTTTATATCCCAGGCTGGAGGTAACTAATTTGAGAAAATTTATTTTTGAAGTCAAAGTCATACCTGGCTTACAGTCCTAGTAAATTATGAAAAATTAAAAATAAACAGTTATATACTCACTTGGATCGCATCGTGCTTTTATATACATATGTGTAGATTTGTACCAACTAAGTTGAACAGGAGACTGAAAGAAATTGAGAAAGAAATAAAAGCATTAGTGAGGGGAATCATTCAGAAAAGGGAGAAGGCCAGGGAAGCAGGAGAGGCCCCAAGTGATGATCTATTGGATATACTTTTGGAATCCAATTGCAGAGAAATCACAGACAATGGCAACAACAAGAACATGGGAATGAGTATTGAAGATGTTGTGAAGGAATGTAAATTGTTTTACTTAGCAGGACAAGAGACAACCTCTGTTCTCCTTAACTGGACAATTGTGTTACTCTGCAAGTATCCCAATTGGCAATCTCTAGCAAGAGAAGAAGTCTTCCAAGTATTTGGCACTCAAACACCTGAATATGATGACTTTAATCGCCTCAAACTAGTAAGACTCTATGAATATTTTTTTTTTAATTTTTGTTGATTCGGTGTCATTTAGAAGTATCATTAATATCTTTCTTCACACTTGATTATGCTAGAATTAATAATTGTGAATATATTTATGTGTATGCGATAGGTAAGTATGATACTGTACGAGGTTCTTAGGCTATACCCTCCAGCTCCTATATTGACTAGGGCAGTATCAAAGGATACAAGACTTGGAAATCTGAGTTTACCAGCCGGAACTCGAGTTGGGATTCCGATAATTCTGGTACAGCAGGATCCTCAATTATGGGGAGAAGATGCAATGGAGTTCAATCCACACAGATTCTCTGAAGGAATCTCTAAAGCAACCAAGAGCCAAGCTTCGTATGTTCCATTTTCTTGGGGTCCAAGGATATGCCCTGGCCAAAACTTCTCTTTGCTTGAAGCTAAAATGGCTCTGTCCTTAATTCTCCAAAACTTCTCTTTTGAGCTTTCTCCTTCCTATGCTCATGCTCCGGTCTCGGTTTTGACCCTTCTCCCTCAATATGGCACCCATATCATTTTACAGAAGCTCCAGAATGATTAGTTAAAAATTCATCATACTACACTCCTTGAGGAATTATATAGATGTGTGTGTCTGTGTGTGTGTGAGTCATGATAATATTCACGTATGTATACGTTCTGTAGTCATTGAATTGTAATCCTAATATTCAGATTATGCAATTTAATATGCTTTTATATGCAAGTTTTAAATCTTTTTATCCTAGAAAATCATATGTTTTTTATTCAAATTTACTAAGGATGGGAAGTTCTTGTGTTTGTTTGGTTCAGCGGAAAATTTTGATTAGGATTATGTATTAACAAAATGGTTGTGTTTAGTTTTGGTCTGATGAATTTGAACAATATATGATAGGACCTTCGGAAGAAGATCAACAACCTGATCAGACATTAAGGCATAGTAAGGGTGATTAAGAGTATGGTTTGATTTGGTTTTGATCAAAACATAAATTGAATTAAACCATTTGGTTTGCACAAAAAATGACACTTGATCAATTTTTTATTAAGGTCAGTTTGGTTCATATATAAATCAAGTTTTAATATTTTTTTGACTCTATTTTTTTCTTTAATATTCTAACATCAAGTCATATTCTCAACATTATTATTTATGAAAGGAAATGAATATCACATCGAAAATAAAAATATTCAAATTTTGTTGTTAATAAACATCATAGTATATGCATTATAAGTAACATTAACATGAGTTAAATTTCATTAAAAATTATCCATAAAAGAAAAATGTGTTTCACTAGCAAATTGTGAAGTATTTGACTCTTTTTAGTCAAGAATTGCAATACACCTCTTCTTAGTTTGGACTATCTTTTACTCTAAAAACAGTAGCAAAATTGAGAAAAGTAGAATTAGAGATTCTATTAAAGTATGTTGAATTTGGTCTGGACTTTAGTTGAGGTTAAAATTTAAAAATAATAAACACTAATTAATACTCTAATATTAATTGTAAAAAATATGCTTAAAAATATAAAAATGTATGGTTTAGGTTTGGTTAAGGTTTCAAAGGAAAAAAAACTGAAATTTGAACCAAGTCATTTGGTTTTTTTTAATTTATAAAACCAAACAAAACTTTACTGATGATTGATTTATTCAATTTTGATTAGATTGGTTTGGTTTGATCGGCCTACTCATCCTTGAGGCAAAGTTATCCTACGCCTCCTTGATATTTTCTTGCTTGCCAAATTCAAGCCAAACTCTATATGCTTGGTTTTGGCATAGTGAACAGGATTGGCTTCAAAGGGCTGCAATTCCTGTGTTATCAGCCCAAATAAAAGGAATTCCTTCAATTTTTACCTGTAATTCCTAGAGCAGACTGATAACCCATTTGTTTGTAGATCTTGAGACAACTTGTTATTCATCTATCGGTAACGCCTCTCCTGTAATCAGCACCATCAAAGACCAATAAAGTGAGAGATGTTGCTAGTCTAACATTATGTCTGTAGTTGATTGTCCGTTTGAGGTATCGCACAACTCCGTTGACATCCATTGTGTGTCAAGTGGGGCTTGCAGGAATTGACTAAGCTTATTGACTTAGTAAGTTATGCCAGGTCCTACTGTACAAATACATCGAAGAGCATCAATGACACAGCTTTATATCCTTTAGCATAGGACCCTCCCTTTAGTTTTAGACAGATGGAAGCTGGCAAGGGCTTGCTGCAACAATGGAGGTTTATTTTTTCTTTTGTTTTGTTTTGTTTTGTTTTTTTTGTTTTTTTGTTTTGGTGAGGAGATCATTGATCTTGAGGTGTTATGAAAGTCAAGTTCCAAGAAAGTATTACAAACCTTCAAGATCTTTTAGTGACAGAGAAGATGCCATATGGGAGATAAGGCCCTCAATTTCAGATTCTTAATCCCCTGTATCAAGCACTTGATTCCAAAATATCTTATGAATAAAATGATATATGGACAACATGATTGGATTAGTTTAAGCATTTGAGTCTTTTTAAACATTTAGATACCTGATACTATATAAATTAAACCATGCATAAATATTTAAAAGTCTGACAGACCTCTAAACCATACAATTAGATCATTTTTAGACAGGACATATAAAAAGAAAAGAAGGGAGGACGAGAAGAAGGGGCCGGCAAGGAATGTTTCAGAGGTAATCTGTACAAATTGGATAATCTACTTTTTTAAAAATTGAAATTTTTAGGTTTAATTTTTTTAAAAAATATCAAATTAGTCATAAAAATATATAAAATAAAACTCATGTCCATTTTTGTAATTATACATCTTAACTAATTTTTGAATCAAATCATTTAAATAAATTTTAATTTGTTCAATTGACTTTTAAAAAGAAGATATTCAAATATAAATTACGTTATAGTCATAGACATTTTTTTCAAGCACACATGTTATTTGAGAACTTTGACTCTCATTTTCTTCATTTTGCCACAGATTCTGTTGCAAATGTAAAAAATGTTGTCTTCATCAGAAGGTAGATGTGAAGTGGGTGTACGGCCATGGCTTTAGAATTTGACACAGGATGTTATTTCTCGAGCAGCATTTGGAAGCAGCTATGAAGAAGGCAGAAAAATATTTGAACTTCTCACAGAGCAAGTCGAACTTCTAAATAAAAATATACCAAGATGTTGTTGATATATCCTGTAAAAAATATGTTCCTAGTTGTGCCCATCCCTCTGTGGAGTTAAGATTGATATCTCAATAGCTAGACTAGGAAGCAATTTTAAGCCTGTGCCTGTGGATATCTGACTCATCCAATGGCCTTCCTTCTTATCATTACATTACTCAGCAACCTATATATAGGTACTGATTACATCAATTTACAGTGTTATATATGCTAAAGACAAGAGGAGGATGAGGAATGCAAGCTGTTCTATTTTGCAGGTCAATAAACCACTTCAGTTGTGCTTGTATGGACCATGATGCTGTTAAGTAGGCACACTGATTAGCAGGCTCGTGCAAGGGAAGAAGTACTGCAAGCCTTTGGCAACCAGAAACCAGATTTTGATGGACCAAGTCGCCTCAAGATTGTAAGTATCTTCTATATATAGTTCTATCCTAATTAAGGTTACAAGGTAATAAATGTTCATACTTTGCCGTTATAGGTGACGATGGTCTTGTACGAGGTTTTGAGATTATACCCACCAGTAGGATGGGTGGCCCGTTCTCTAAATAAGGAAGGACATGAAACTTGGCAATTTATCAATACCAGTGGGTGCACAGGTTCTCATACCAATACTGATTCTTCACCATGACAAAGAGATTTGGGGTGATGATGCCAATGAGTTCAAACCAGACAGATTTAATGAAGGAATCTCAATGGCAGGCAAAAGTGGTTCGATTGCATTTTACCCATTTGGAGGGGGTCCTCGAATCCGCATTGGGCTAAATTTTGCCTTGTTAGAGGTTAAGATGGCTCTGTCTTTGACTCTACAACGCTTTAGGTTTGAACTTTCCCCAGCATACTCTCATGCTCCGACCTATGTCTTTACTCTTCAGCCATAATAACATGGGGTTCATGTCATTTTACATAAATTATAATATAATTCTATTTATGGGATAAATTTAAATACTCACAAGTCCACTTGTTCATACTTAGAAAATGAACCATGAAATGTTTGATTTGCCTGCATTAGTTAGTTATTCTGTCTTTTCGAGCTGTATAGCTTCGAATTGTTCGGCCCCATTCAAGGCAGCAGGCAGAGTACCCTGTTTCGTACTTTTGTTGAATAGCCGTCCTCTCTGTTTTTCACTTTTTCTAGCCATTTGATCTCTTCATTTACCAATATTGTATAAAATAAAATAAGACAAACGATAAAAGTATTGTGCATGAAATCGTTTTCATGAAGAAGGGCTGTTTGGATGAGAGTGGTTGGCGTGACTCACTTGGAAGATATGTAAGGAAATACAAAACAACATTTTATATCTTTGACCAATCATTGAGTTGAGCTTTAATTGTAATTTATTCAAGTAATAATTTGGAAATAATTGCAAAATAAAGCATCACGATGGATGATGCTAGAGGCGACAATTGACATTGTAGCCAATCAAATTGAAGTTGGAGAAAATAAGTAGCTTTCGAATTTTCATTGCACCATTAGTTCAAGATCCTAAAATAAACTAATTAAGCTCCTTCGACAACCCAACTCCCCTCGCTACATGCCTCACATTCTTGAAATATATTCACATACATTTTATCATGATTTAATGCTCGAGTTTTTTAACACGACTTGGATTGCATTCTCTAGTTTAATATCCACTGCAAATAGTTTCACCAAAATCACAAGCATTTAAACACTGATATAGTAATGAATATTTCTAACTTGGGGAAAAATATTTCAAGTTAGTTATATAATTCCTTTCATTTATATATCATTTTAATTAAAACTAACTTTTCATTTGGAAAAACAAGGTGGATGCCTATTCATTTATTTAATTATTTTTTAAGGTCAGACTTTAATAATTAGCTTTAAAATGATAATCAGACTTTTGAGTTTGAACCTTTATAAGTTGAGCTCATTAGGACTTAATCCTAAAGAGCCTAGGGCCAGCCTATTTTTAATTTTTTAATGCATATTAAATAATTTAAAATTTAACAAATTATTAAAATTTATGGCGTGATTTTTTAGTGTAATTTTATGATCTAAATTTGATGTTTTTTGAAAAATAAAATTAACTAATTCAATGTAATTATATATATTTTAGTTCCTTATTTAAATTTGAATTATCAAATTTTAAAATAAATTTACTGTTTTTTCTATTTATCCTTTTAAAATATATAATTTGTTTTTTTGCCACAAACTATGATTTGTTATTTAAATATTATAATTTAAACATACTATATTTGCATTTGTTAATTCTGTATTTAAAAAATAAACAAATATAGGAATAACTTTATAAGTCCTTTTTTTTTTTTGATTTTTCACCCGATATCCTGAAGAGTGTGGGTATTTTGGATTCATTACCTACCCACCCCATTCCAGACTAATTTGGATCCCTGTGTAGGTTGGGTCCTCAATGTGGTGGTTTTGCAGGTACCACTGGCGAGACATATTTTGTGTGCTCAGCTGCTCGTCTGTATATCTTGAGATTCGAACATGAAATCTCAAGTTAAGCTGTCTAAATTCTTAACCATTTAGACAATTGGTATTATAAGTCCTCATAATAAGGTCTAGATGGCTGAAAAAAAAGACTAGATCTCTTTTTCTAAGAACTGGATTTTAAAAATGGGGCTTGTGGACCAGAGTCTTTATAGCCAATTAAGGCTGAGCCTTTTTCGGCCGAAAAGGTGGAACGAACGATAAACTGGGCTTTCAAGATCCAACTATATGGTTACCAAAAAAAAAATTGGCTAGTGGACATTTTGCTTTTTTTTTTTTCACTAAAAAAGGCGAAAAATTAGGAGGAGGTAAGTTCGAAGAACAAAAAATTTAATACAATCAATCATAATTTCTTTCTTTTTTCCCTTTGGATACAACAGAGAGCAAATTAATCATAATTTCAAATACTGAACAAACCATGCATCGAAAATCCAAACATGGTATTAATTAAGGTAAATATAAATATAAATGCCTTCCTTTTCTCTTCTCTTTTTCCTTAGACGAGTATATCAAATAGGAAAACCACCTCCCGCAGGCAGTATTTAAATGGTGGAATGTCTAGCTCATCTCTTTATCTGTCCAAGCGCCTATGTGAGTGGATAAGAATATTGTCCACTTTGCTAATCTATTCATACATATATAATAAAATCGGATAGTGTTGATTCTAAATTTTAATTGATTAGAACAAATATGCATCTTTACATGTCATCAAGAAAATCAAATGATGTCAAATATTACAGAGAACTCTTAGGAAAGAAACAATTATTTTTGTAATTAATTTTTTAAATAAAATTATGAGATAATGAAGATTTTAATTTCTGAATTTGTCTCAATTATTAATTTGATCTCAAGTTACTATATTTTTATCTATTTAATTTCTTAAGTTTCTTTCAATTACTGATTTTGTCTTTATTATTTAAATGGAAGATAATGTTGAGTTTGCTAACAAGGATAACAAAAAAATTGGGTTGGTAATGATATATAAATTAACGACAGGGAGTCTAATTATTTAAGAAAAATGAAAAAAAAAACAATGTATAAGAAAACTAGGAGAACTAATGGGGTTAGATCAAGTGAAAGGGGTTAGTTTTTATAACGTGATGAATCAATGTTTGAATCTCCCTCCGTTAGAATATATGTTCACATTTAATATTTAATCATATCTCAAACAAAGATTATCTTTAATAAAGTGATGTCTCTTAGACTTGAGCAATAGAAAACAAGAAAGATATAACAAGAAAATGAGGCAAAAGAAGAAGAATATAAAAAACAAAGATATTTTGTTTTCATTTTATCATATATACCTATTAAATTTTTAATATACTTTACATATTAAATTAATTGGAGGACTAATTTGTATGTCTCAAAACTTGAAAAACTAACATAATAATTTAAGAAAATATAAAGAATTAAATTAATAAAAATAAGTTAAAAAACTAAATTGATAAATGAGATACACTTGACCAATAAAATAACTTACAAAAAGAAAAAAAATAAGTATATATACATATTTTGTCACTCTCTAAAGAAGGCATTAACTCAAATTTAAAAGCCATTACCAAAATCAGAAAAATGTATAAGACAGACAATTGTCTATCTGTATATACATGCACAGCCTCGTGTCATTCATGCAGACAAGAAACGGTCGACTTAATTGCTTTATATTCAGGTTCTCTTTCTTCCTCCTCTCACCCACCCCTCTCATCAGTGCCTCTGAAAATCACTGACTCAAACCAGAATTTCCAGATCCAGTTCTCTGCAGAAAAAAATGGTGGTTATGACCAGATCAAGAGCCAGGGCCAAAGCAGCATCTCAGAAGGTTGATTTCATCAGCCAACTCCCTGTCGAGGTCTTGGCCTTCATAATTTCCAAGCTTCCGATTGACGAAGCTGTTAGAACGAGCGTGCTTTCAAAGAAATGGAAGGGAATATGGCGTCTCACTCCCCATCTCGATATTGATGGGAAACGAATGATCATGCCCTTAGCTCAAAGAGAAAACCCTGAAGAAGCCTATGATCGTGACTCACCACTTAGTATGGCCTTGAATCGAAATCTCATGCGGTATGGTCTGAAGATTTCTGTCCTCTTGATTCGTCACTCTGGTGATTTACGCAGCAGTAAATTCACCCACTTCCCGTATAGTCTTGTTTGCGAGGAAGTGGTGTCCTGGGTTAAATTGGTAAAGCTTAAAAACACGAAAAATTTAAGCCTAGAGTGTGAGTTATTTGACATCGGAACATTCGAGAATTCTCTTAACCAAGCTGGTGAGAGGAAATCAAAACCTAATTTTCCACAGGGGATTTTCTCAGGTTTCGATTCACTGCAGTTCATTTACTACACACTGAATAGTTCTGAGCCGTTTGAGGGATGTGAAAATCTCAAAACATTGATTCTGAAGAATGTTTATATAGAAGATGAAATCCTCAATGGAATTCTGGAGAACACTAATGGGCTGGAGAACTTTAGTCTGATTGAGTCTTTTGGGTTTAGGAAACTTCAAATCCATAATCCAAATTTGAAGGTCTTGCAACTGAATGCAGTGCAACTTGATGAAATAGTTGTTTTTGCCGAAAAGCTCGGGCTTTTACTCCTCGACACTGTAACTCGTCCCGGGAGTTTGAAAATTTATTCTCCAAACCTGAGGGTTATCCATTCTTACGACAAATCGATAATTGGATCAATTCTTGCAGCAGGGAGACATGTTCTCAAAGCTTCCGAATTTCTGGGTAATTACCGCCATTTTTGGGTAAGTTCTCTAGATAATTAGTGTTGTGATGTCTCCTGTTTATATATATATATAAGTATATATTGTGTCGTGGTGCTAATTGTTTCTTCATTTTCACTTTGTAGTATTCTAGGAGCGATGTTTTCAAGCATTTGTCAAAGCTCTCAATTGATTTGGATTTAAATGATACACAAGCTTGTCGTCTGGTTTCAACCTTCATGAGATTATGCACCTGTCTGGAAACTCTCGAGATCACTTTACCGGTATGTGACATTAACTTCGCTAGCTAGCTCTCAATTCTATTGTGTTGTATTCAATCATGAACAACGAACCTTTAAGTTTATATTTAATTTACCCGATATTGGAAGGAAAGGGAGGGATTTGGATCCTCTCCATGCCCTCTCCCTCAACACATCTCTCTATATCTAATCTCATATACCAATTTATAATTATTCATTTGGTTTAACGGTGTAAGGTTGTTAATTGTAAAATGAAAATAAATATAGTATTAATTTCATGGTTATCATTGATAAGAATTATGATCTTATTTTCATAAATATTCAAGTGGTGATAGTGAATAACTTATTTATTGTAATGCCATAATTAGCAATTTCACACCATTAAACCAAAACAATAATTAAATTATTGGCTGTGATTGGGTTGGGAGAGATGTATTGAGAGAGTATGGAGAGGATCCAAATGAACCTCGAGGCTGAAATTAAATTTCTACTTATCACGTTTAGCTAGTTTGGTGCCCAATGTGCCACTTAAATATTGAATATTAATTCATTGAATGCAAATTTCTATTGTAGTCCACTCTTTTTCGCTTTTACTATCTACTAATGTCTCTCTGCAATCACTATTTCATATGATGACTTATGTGAAAAGTCAATTTTGTTAGTGCCAGCATCCTATCTCTTTACAAGATTCAGTAAAAGATCATAGTCAAATCAAAATATAGATCGCCCCAGAAAGACTAGTACTGGTTCGATCCCTAAATTGATACTTCAAGGAGGGTATGTGTTGTGACTTGTGGGGGAGGTTAAAAGATAGAGAAATTGTTAGCATGGCAAGCTAGGCCAAACAATTTAGTTCAAGTAGAAATATAGTTATGCCCTTACTAATAGATTATAGATTGTTTTTGTTTCACAGATTCGCAATGAATTTATCAATAGAGGTTTTTACTGGGATCTTCGAGTTGCCTGTAACTGCATCCGTGACCACTTGAAGTTTGTGTACTTGAGGGGATACAAAGGTAATAAACAGGAATTTGAATTTCTCAAGCACATAATAACAAAAGGCAGGAAGTTGGTAAGAATTACCATTCTGTGCCGTCAACCTATAGATCAACAAAGATTATTCAGTCTTAAAAGTGCTTCCCCTGATCTCTCCATCATCCTCAAGGTTAGGATACACAGTGAAATGCAAGAGCTCTGGGAAACTCAACATAGGGCTCTAATTACTTATAATTAATAATTATTGTATGTGATGTGCTTGCAATCAGTATGATTGAAATTTCTGAGATTGTAATGCTCTAATTACTTATAACTAAGTTTCCAATCTGTTACCATTTTGAACACTTGGAAATGATTGAGTTCAATTTATGTTATATACATGCAATGATTCTTTACAGCAATTAACTTTGTTTGTTCTTGAAAGCTCGATTAGTCATGTTGCGAAGTAATTTATGCATGTCCTCAGCACAATGCGTGTTGTTAATCATGAGGAAGGCTGCGTTTAGCAAGAATTATTACTCGTGCTTTGTGAGTTGAAATGATTATATGTTATTAATGCATGTATGGTTGTTGGTTGGTTAGATATATTTGCAGCATCTTTGATTTGTTAAATTTTTAAAATTAGAAGAAAGAAATGCTATGCTATTGTCTTGTATTATTACAAATATTACATCGTATTGTTTTGTTGGACACGACCGTAACCTTGTTAGCAATGTTCTTACAATGTTTTTGGAATATCAATTGACACATTCTAGGCCTTTCTCAGTACATATATGTGAGAAGAAGAAATTAGAAAAGTCGCATTTTTAGTGGGGCATGTATAATGACATTTAAGTCTCTTGTAAAGAAATTATTACACTTTTGCTCTTGTTTCTAGCACATAATTTCTTCTTGATATTGATAACTATGACATGTTAATAATTTTTTTAAGTAGAGATCAAAGTGGTAATAATTCCGCCGCAAGAGATCTAAATATCATTCTTCCTTTGTGGCTTATTATTACGGTTGCCATGCATCTTTACGTGTCCAAATAAACTTCTTTTAAACGAAACTTCGTGATCAATTAATTAGCCTATTATGTATTATTCAACAATGCTGATTGTCCCAAGGTTTTATCGTCATTTCGCACATTCAAAAAATTTAGGGGAGGTTGTTTAAGAATAAAAAAATAAGTGATTTTCAGTACATATTTTATAAAAAGCTGGCATTATTTTTTGTTTGATTACAATAATAAAAAATTATTATTATTTAGTTATTTTTAAATTTTATGATATCTTTCTTAATTTTTATTTTATACAAATGATTTATTATTATATTATTTTAAATTTTTATAATATCTTTACATATTTTGCCTCTTTAAATACTCTCTTTCATCTATCACATTAGATTATTTTTAAAAGCTTTTTAAAATAGCTTCTTAAAATAATTAAAAATATGTTTTTTTTTGACATTCTGATTATTTTTAAAAGTTTAAATAAATATAATAAAAACTTAAAATAATTTTTTTTAAAAAATAAATTTTTATGAAAAAAGCTAAAAACAAGTGGACTCTTATTAATCATTATCTTTTATTTTTTAAAATTTGTTTATTAGGAACCCAGCTGTATATCTATCGTTTTCATTCAAATTGTATGACAACTAACTAGCTAAGGTGTTCAGGCGGCCCAAAAAAATAAAGTCAAAGGTTACATGATCACTCATGCTAATTTTTTTGCTATTTAAAAAAATTACAAGTAATGGGTAACGGCGAAGATTGGTAAGTGAAGGCGAATGGGGTTGTTGGGAGATACATGTCAGGTCATGTCATTTCTAGAACTAGTCCTTAAAAAAAAAAAAAAAAAAAAAAAAAAAACTAAGCGATGGCAATAGGCTAATCAACATAGATGAGTAGCCCTAGCTTGTGTAGCATTAAGGTTCTTGCATATATATGTCCATTTTAAGAATGCATTATTTCCGCAACGTGTAGGAGCAGCGAGGGAGTCAGGATTTTGTGTTAGGGGTGCACATTAATTTTAAAAATTTAATTTTTTTTTGAATAATCATACATTTTATAATTGTCCCCTACTTATTATCAAATGTTATTAAAAATATTTCCTTTCATATAAGTCACTAATTTATGATATTATTTATATATAAAAATATATAATAATTAACTAGAGATTTAAAAAAAATTAAATAACTAAGAATATTCTTTTCTAAAAATTATATTAGAGTTTTGAATTTAGTGAATTCATAACTGAGCTTAAGTTAAAATATTCACAAAAAAAAAGGATCCAGATTTTAAGAAGTTTAAAATTTTATAGCTAGAAAAGGTAAAATAATAAAATATTAACTTTTCTTTTATAATTTCCTCAAAATTGAGGGGTGCATATGCCCCTCTTAAATGTATGTAGCTCCGCCACTGTACAGGAAAAATATCAACCATGAATGATAAAGTTCATGTATGTTCCAACAGTTTATCCATATCGTGTGTGGGAGAGGGATAGAATATCCATTTCTTGCCCTTCCATTTCTTGCGATAGTTTATGAATTTTAAAACCGATTAACGAAATAAATTAGCGCAATTATGGTTGATATGATCATGATGTAGATGATATCCATATATACGTAGACTCTGAGGAAGGACTGGATTAATTTAAAATTGAGATTCCTTTTCGATTATTCGACGAGAAGGAAAACTCCAAAATTCACATATTATATTCGCACGTTTTCACTAAGCACAACAGTTGACCTTCTCATATACAAACACAGTAGAGTGATTTCAATTGACAAGGACTTTCAATATAAACTTCTAAAACTCAAAAAGGACTCTTCGACTCACCAGTTTTCTTTGTCGCGAGATCGATCTCTATATATAGATTTACCAAGTTCAGGTAGACACATTAATACATCAAGCTAGCAGGACAGAGAGAGAGAGAGAGACAGAGAGAGATCAGCAGGAAGATATGTTTGAAGCGTCAGCGTCAGCAATAATGGTGGCCACATTATTGATCACCGTAACGGTAACAGTGATTAGATGGGGATGGAAGATGGTAAAGTGGGTGTGGCTGAACCCTAGGAGGCTGGATAGAGAGCTCAGAAAGCAAGGCCTTAAAGCCAATCCTTATAGATTATGGATCGGTGACTTGCAGGAAATGGTTAAGATGCAACAAGAAGTCACATCCACACCCATGGCTTCTCATTCCCACGATCTACCTCCCTATGTCGCCTCTTTTGTCCACAACTTGGTCGACAAATACGGTCTGCTTCCTCTCTCTCTCTCTCTCCACAAACACACACAAATGGCTGATTAGAAAACCAGTCAAAATAACTGACGTTGGTAAACCTAGGAATAAAAAATGGCTGAATATTTATTTTGGCTTGCTTCAAGAATTATAACTTAGTAAATAACAATTAACTGAGTGCAGGTAAGAATTCATATATGTGGTTTGGAACGAGGCCGAGGGTGATCCTGATGGATGCAGAGCAAGTAAAGGAGGTGCTTAACAGAAGCTATGACTTCCCCAAGCCTGAAGCAATTCCTATTGCTAAGTATATAGCCACAGGTGTTGCAAACTATGAGGATCACAAGTGGGCTAAGCATAGAAAGATCATCAATCCTGCATTCCATTTGGAGCAGTTGAAGGTTCCTTCTTTTCTTCTGATTGAAATTAATTACTCCACCCCTTTTCAAATAATTCTTGTTCAATTAAGTTTATGCATACAGATTTTGTTTTTAAAAATATTTAATGGCTTAAGCGGTTATAATAAAATTTAATTATATTCGACTAAAATATACCCTTAATATTTAAATTTCGATCACCTACCATTATTTTAATTAATAGAGTAAAACAGAACCAAAAAAATTAACTCTTTATTGAAATTTTCAGACAACAATTATTTTGAAACTTAATAAAAGTTAGACTTCAAGTCAGAATTACTTCAGACATACGAAATTAAACAGGTATTGATGATTTATACATTATATTATGTCAAGGGAGAACCACTGATCAAGAATATCCACAGAATTCCTTTTTCTTTTTTCTTTTTTGAATTCTTCATTTTGCCACAGGCCCTGATCCCAAGCTTTTCCCAAAGCTGCAATGACATGATAAGGAAATGGGAAAAAATGTTGTGTTCTTCATCAGATGGAACATGTGAAATGGATGTACGGCCCTGGTTAAAGAATTTCACGGAGGATGCTATTTCTCGAACAGCATTTGGAAGTAGCTATGAAGAAGGTAGAAAAATCTTCGAACTTCTCTCGGAGCAAGGTGATCTGTTAATGAAGAATGTAATCATATATCACAGCCCATTGTGGAGGTAAGATTACTATATATCTAACTCCGCTTGGAAGAACTTAATTTTTAGGTTGTTCTTGATAACCACTGTTTCACCCACTCACTTTCCATCGTATTTAAAGGACCTATTACGGGCCATGGATACTGATATGAACGTAACACACCATAATGCAATACAAATAGATATTTTCATGTATAGTTTTAAAAGTAGCTAACTTTCTAGCAGACTTGATATCTGAACTGAACGATTAAGCTCCAAAGTTGAATATCATATATGCAAATATAGTAGTGAGATGAAATCAATTTGCAGTGTGATACACGCTAAGGACAAAAGGAGGATGAAGGAAATTGATAGAATGGTGAAATCTTCTCTGATGGGTATCATCGAGAAGAAGGAGAAAGCAATAAAGGCAGGTGAAGACCCCAAGAGTGACCTTCTAGGCCTACTTTTAGAGTCCAATCGCAAGAACGTTCTAGAACAAGGAAACAAGAACAGCGTTGGGTTGAGCATGAAAGATGTGATTGAGGAATGCAAGCTGTTCTATTTCGCCGGCCAAGAAACCTCTTCGTCTATGCTTGCTTGGACGATGATGCTCTTGGGTAGGTACCCTGACTGGCAAGTACGTGCAAGGGAAGAAGTCCTACGAGTCTTTGGCAACCAAAATCCAGACCATGATGGGTTAAGTCGCCTTAAGATTGTGAGTAATTAGTATACGAGGCACATGTACATCGAATAACCCTCTTTGAATCATATGGAACTAACTAATATATCCAGCTGAACTGTGTGCTGAGGCTTAATTATATACGCACTTTGTTTCTGCAGTTGACCATGATCTTGTACGAGGTTTTGAGGTTATACCCTCCGGTAGGATGGTTGACACGATCTCCTAAAGAGGACATGAAACTTGGGAATTTGTTTGTACCAGCTGGAGTAGAACTTCTGCTGCCAATACTTATGCTTCACCATGAGAAAGAAATTTGGGGGGATGATGCTAGTGAGTTCAAACCAGAGAGATTCTGTGAAGGAATCTCAAAGGCAGGGAAAGGTGTTTCCGCAGCATTTTTCCCATTTGGATGGGGTCCTCGAATCTGCATTGGACTAAACTTTGCTTTGTTAGAGGTCAAGATGGTTCTGTCACTCATTCTACAACGCTTCTGGTTTGAGCTTTCCCCAGCATATTCTCATGCCCCTGTCTTCAATATTACTATTCAGCCTCGACATGGCGTTCATATCATTCTACGTAAATTATAGGAATTCAGAATTTGCATGGTGCTTAGATTATTAAGCTAGTTCGAGTTATTTATGATGATAATAAATTTGTTTCATGTTAGTCTCCTTGGCGAGTGATGCAAAACTAGAAAAGAATGACATGGATATGGAATTTATATTTATATGGTACTAATTTGTGATTTGATTTATCTCATAACTGCAATCATTTTTTGGCCACACTGGGGGGTTTATATGATCATTTCCTACAAGAGAGGATAAGCATTTGAGGGCCCACTAAGCCTGTGCAGCTTTTAGCCTAATAAATGAATGATGGAAGAGTTATTAATTGCTATAGAAAACATAAAATTAATATCCTTGATCTTTTATCAAATTAAAAGAAAATCCATGATTATATATGTCAAAAGCTGAAGTTCGTTAGTTTATGTGGTTAAGCGGTAGAAGCAAAAAGTGGCGTTTTTGAAGAATAAGTTTCCTGTAATCTTTCACCATCTTAAGCTCCAAAACATTGTGTTACACACAAGGACTGCAAATAAAAGATACATTTTTTATCCGTATCTATAAAATTGGGCTAGTTATTGAATCGAATAAGACAATAATTCAAAAATAATGGTTAGATTGTAATTAGATTGTGGTCAATTTGTGGTTGAACTAGTTATGATTAATTTAATGTGACTCTGATTTTATATGTTAAATATAATGTTAAAAGTAATATTTATATTATTTTTTAAAAAAATAAATTTATTCATTGAAACAAGTATAAAATCACACGCTTTCATTCATTTACCCTTGTAACATTTCTTCATGGTGGCTGCTAAAATTTGACTATAAGCCCACAGTTAAAATTTGGGAGAATGATAGTTAGATGTTAAAAGATTAAATTAATGATAGTTAGATTCTCAACAAAATTTTTTTAAAATTAAATTATAAATATCAATTCAAACAATTGAAAACAAAAATTCATGTTACAATTTAAAAGTTACATTTAATATTTAAATACTTATTTACAATTAAAACTCTTAAATGTATAATTATCCAGATCCATATTTTCAATTTATTTTTTAACAAATTTTGTCAGGACTTAACTGTTATTAATTTAATATTTTAGGATCTAACTAAAGAATAAAGGCGTGTGATTTTATCTAAATTTAAAATACATGCCATATTATACCGATAACATCATCTTATTTTATCTAAATTTAAATTAAAATATTTTATTAAATAATGGGGTATGTAACTAAATGCATCATCATTTTTTATTAAATACACATTTTTTCTTTTTGATATTCCAAAGAAATCATGTGTATTTAACAAAAGTAATAGACTCGTAGCGTGCTTAGAGCGATGTTGGCCACTTAAAAAAACACTCTTCATCATGTGAAATGCCTATGCGTTGCACCATGAATCGTGGTTTCTAGGGATGATGTTAATGCACTTGTTTTGTAAACATTAACACCATTTTATTTTATCCATATCTATATTAAAATATTTTTATTAAATAATGGGGGTATTTATTGTAACTAAAGGCATATTTATTTTTTATTAAATGAACCATTTTTCCTTTTCAATATATCAAATAAATCATTACATCTAACCAAAAAAAAAAAAAGGTAACGGACCCGGATCGTGGTTGGAATGATAAACCACTTTGAAAAACATGTTTCATCATGTGAAATGTTTATGCATTACACCATGAAAAATGTGATTTCTAAGGATGATGTTATGTGCACTTGTTTCGTAAACATTAACACCATTTTATTTTATTTATATCTAAGTGAAAATATTTTTATTAAACATTGGAGGTATGTAACTAGAGGCATAATTATTTTTTATTAAATAAATTTAAACATTTTTTTTTTCTTTTCAATGTATCAGAGAAATCATTGCATTTAACAAAAGTATCAGACTTGAAGCATGCTTGGAATGATATGCCACTTTGAAAAACACGCTTCATCATATGAAATGCTTATGCGTTACACCATGAAAAATGTAAATGGTATTTTTATTACATGATATCTAGGGGATGATGTTATCTGCACTTGTTTCATTTTGTAGGCGTTAACACCATTTTATTTTATCTATATCTAAATTAAAATATTTTTATTAAACAATGGGGGTATGTAACTAAAGGCATAATTATTTTTTGTTAAATAAAACATTTTTTATTTTCCATATATAAGAGAAATCATTGGATTCAACAAAAGTAACAGACTTGTAGTGTACTCAAGTACACTATGAAATGCTTATGCGTTACACTATGACAAATGTGATATCTGGCGATGATGTTATGTAGTGCCATTTTATTTTAACTAAAATCTAAATTAAAATATTTTTATTAAATAATAGGGTATGCAACTAAAGGCATAATTACTTTTTATTAAATAACACATTTTTTCTTTTCAATGTATCCGAGAAATCATTGCATTTAATAATAGTAATAGACTTGAAATGTGCTTGGAATAATGGGCCATTTTAAAACATACATTCCAGCATTACACCACAAAATGATTTCTAGGGATGATGTTATGCGCAGTTGTTTTGTCAACATTAACACCATTTTATTTTATCTAAATATAAATTAAAATATTTTTAGTAAACAATGGGGGGTTTATGTATAGTAACTAAAGCTAAGGCATAATTATTTTTATTGAGTAAAACAATTTTCCTTTTCAATATATCAGAGAACTCATTGCATTTAACAAAAGTAACAGACTTATAGTGTGTTTGGAATGATGTGTCACTTTGAAAAATACATTTAATCATGTGAAATGCTTATGGGTTACACCACAGAAAACGTGATTTATAAGGACAATTTTATGTGCACTTGTTTTGTAACATTAATACCATTATATTTTATTTTTTAAAATCTAAATTAAAATATTGTTATTAAAAAATGGAGGTATGTGATTAAAGGCATATATCATTATTTTTTATTAAATTAATCATTTTTCCTTTCCAACATACCAGAGAAATAATCATTGTATTTAACAAAGGTAATAGAGTTGAAGCGTGTTTGGAATGATTGGCCACTTTGAAAGACACGCTTCATCATATGAAATGCTTATGCATTACACCACAAAAAAAATATGATTTTATGGGATGATGTTACGTCCACTTGTTTTGTACTCCCTCTTTTTGAAAAAAATGTAAGGTAATCTCACTTATTAATAAAATAATTATTTATTTTTAAATCAATTCTATTTTTTTATTTTTATTTTTATTAAACACCTTACAATAAATATAAATTTATTTATTAATATGATATTTTTAAAAAAAGATAATGATTACATGTTATAAGATTAAAAATGCTTTATATTTTTAAATATCCAACTCTTCAAAAAATATTGTACATTTTTAAATGGAGGGAGTAAACATTAACACTATTATATTTTATTTTATCTAAATCTAAATTAAAATATTTTTATTAAACAATGGGGGTATGTAACTAAAGGCATAATTATGTTTTTAATTAAATTAAACATTTTCTTTTTCAACACATTAGAGAAATCATTGTATTTAACAAAAAGTAACATAAACTTGAAACATTCCTGGAATGATAGGCCATTTTGAAAAAACACGCTTCAACATGTGAAATGCTTTTTGCTCAAAAAAAAAAAAAAACATGTGAAATGCTTATGTATTACACCATGAAAAACACGATTTATAGAGATGATCGGTTATGTGACTTCTTTCATAAACATCAATACCATTTTATTTCATCTAAATCCAAATTAAAATTAAATATTTTTATTAAACAATGGGGGTATGCAACTAAAGGCATATATAATTATTTTTTATTGAATAAAATATTTTTCCTTTCCAACACACACACATATTGGAGAAATCATTACATTTAACAAAGGTAACAACAGACTTAAAGCTTGCTTGGAATGATGAGCCACTTTAAAAAACACACCATCATTTAAAAAGCTTATGCGTTATACCACCAAAAATGTGATTTCTAGAGTCGCCTCAAAAAGTTACATACACTGATATCCCAACAACATCAACTCCATTTTATTTTATCTGGATCTGTATTTTTTGCAATAATTATTTTTTGAGTTTTTAGCACTGATGATCTTGTCTCAAGCGAAAAAAAGTGGAAAAATTAGTAAGAGGAAGGTTGAAATGAAAAATAAATATTTTTATGTAAAATTTAAAAAGAAATAAATACTTTGGAGCTAAAATTTTTAATATAATTATTCAGAATCTAGTACAAATCACAAGACCAGTGTTGGATATATGAATATTCATTTTACTGACCCAGTTAAAATAAAATTAGAGAGTCTTGGTTAATAATTCCTGAATTTTAATTAATTAGAATGAATGCGCACACAGGTCCATAAAATAAGATATATATATATATATATATATAATATTGCAGGGAAAATTTTAGGGAAGAATTTTTTTTTTAAAATGAACTTTGCTATTAGAGGAGGAAAATATAATATATGGTTTGAATAAAAACATTTGCTGATCACTCTTAAGGGAAAATCATTAACTCAAATTTTAAACGAATTACCAAAACAAGTAATTAATGGTATTAAGACAGACAATTTACTATCTGTCAACACTCAACCCTCGTGCATTCATGAAGAAAGATAACGGACAAATTAATTGCTTTATATATTCAACTCTCCTTTCTTCTTACTTTCACACACTATATTCTCTCAAAGCTATCCCTTCACTTCAAACCTTTCACTACTCCTAAAAAATGATTATGACCAGATCAAGAACCAAGGCCAAGCTGGCTTCTTCTGATGAAGGGCCAGATCTGATAAGCCAACTCCCAGATGAAATCTTGTGCCTCATCATTTCTCTTCTTTCAATCGACGAAACTGTAAGGACGAGTGTTCTTTCAAATAGATGGAGAGAATTATGGCGGTTCATCACTAGCCATCTTGAGTTTGACGGTAGAAGCATGATCATGCCCTTGGCTCAGACAAAACCCTGGAGAAAAACTCAATCCCTATTTGCTACTTAGTTTTTCCTTGACTAGAATAATCGCTCTCTATGGTCTCATCATCTCTTCCATTTTTCTTCGTCACTCTAATCCCCTTCATAGCTGTCGATTCATCCATTTTCCATATAGTATCTTCTGTGACGAAGTCGTGACCTGGCTCAGATTTATAAAGAGAAAGAATGTGAGAAATCTTAGCCTAGAGCGTGAGTTTTATGACATTGAAACAACCCAAAATTGTCTTGACCATTTAGAAGAATGTGAGAGATTGTCAAAACCTAATTTACCGACTGGGATTTTTTTCAGGACTGTGTTCACTCCAGCTCATTTACTACGCACTGCCTACTTCAAAACCATTTGAAGGATGCGAGAATCTGAAAACCTTGATCCTGATAAATGTGAATGTCGATGATAAAAACCTAGATAGAATTTTTAAGAACTGTAAGGGGTTGGAGAATATGTGCCTCGATGAGTGTACTACTGGGTTTTCAAAACTTGAAATCCATTATCCCAATTTGAGTGTTTTGCAATTGCATGCGATGAAACTTGATGGATTAATTGTTTTTGCTGAGAGGCTTGAGGTTTTACTCCTTGATACTATCATTTCTCCGTGGAGTATGGATATTTATTCCCTGAGCCTCAGGGTTATCCATTGTTACAACCACTCGATATTGGGATCAATGCTTTCTTTAATTGAAGAGAGAAACGTTCTCAAGGCTTTCGATCTTCTTGGTTACTTCCGTTATTATTGGGTAAGTTCAATAATTAATAGTGCTAAATAAATGATGTCTCTCTCTGTTTTAATTGTTTATATTATATGATGGTGCCAATTAACTGTGTAATCTTCATTTTCACTTTGTAAGATCGTAGGAGCAATATTTTGCTGACTCTGTCAAAACTTTCAATTGACATTGACCTGAATGATGCAAAAGACTGTGTTTTATTTGTGTCCTTCATGAGATCATGCACTCGTCTAGAAACTCTTGAAATCACTTTACCGGTATTTGACATCAAGTTTTCTCTCGAGTTCATTGCACATTCATTTGAAAGCAAAGTTGTATATATTATAGTTCACTTTATTTGCTGGTTTACAGGCTGTTCCTAATGAAGAATTGATCGGTAATGTCCCACCTTTTCAATTTTTTTTCTCTTTTAATTTTTAGAAAAATTACTTTTAAGGATTACTCAAACAATTTATTTGTCGATAAGGATATATAACAAGTCTTATTCAAGAAAAAAAAAATCTATTTTCAATTTTCACAATAGTCCATTTCGTTTTTATCCTTGTTTGTATATAAGTTTCTTGAATGGTCCTTAAATGTGAATTTTCCTTCTTCTTTTTTTGAATTGTTAGCTTCTATATAAAATAATGGACATTTTCATATCTTAAATTCCTGAAATGATAGATTTTGTATTTTTTTAAGATTTTTCAAAGATAAAAGTGTGTAGTTCTGATATTTTCTTTAAGAATAAAAAAATACAAAACTCTAATGTTTTGGGACTTTAAAATATCAAAATATTTCTTATTTTATATAAAAATTAATGATTAAAAAAAACAAAATTGAAAAGACAGTATTACAAATGACCCATTAGGGGGGGGGGGGATCGGAGTACATAAGAGGTCCATTATATAGCTCCAATTTAATCTACAAATCAAATGGGGAGTACCATGGCGGATTGATGAAATATAGCTAATGTGTAGAATTTCATAAAAGTACTCAATACAATAACTTGGACAGATTTTCAGGGTTTGTGATAAATGCTACGCACACACACTGATATCTATGTATATTTTGTTATTTCTGTGTTTCGCTGCATTAAGAGTGGCTTTTAGGTGGCGTTATATGGACAATTGTTCAATTAATGTTATAAATTAAATAAAAGCATCTAGTCATTTCCTCAATAGTTACTTTATGAGTTTTAAGGCTGCTCGTCTTGGGAAACCAAAAAAGGTGAAATATTTAGCAAGAGGAAGCTTCAAATAAAAACAATATTTTTGGTGCACGATTCAAAAAGGAAATAAATTAACTTTTTAAAATATTACCCCTAATACTTCGAATAAGTTGATTCCATTTCTTCTTTTTCATTGATTTTTGGACAGTTTTTCTTCAGTATTATTTAATTTTCTGAAATTTTTTTTAAGTCTACATACAAGTCCTCATTGCCTTCAAGTGCATGATCATGGCCTTTACTTTAGTTCTTTGACTAATGAAACTAAACACCGATCGCTCGATTTTAACCGTTGGTCTTAAACTTAAAAAATAAGATCAAAATACATTTTCAAGATTTTTTTAAAGGATTTTATAAATTAAAAATGATAGAAATATAACAATACAGGCCTTTTATTTATTTTAAGAAAATATCTGTAACAATATACTCAAATATACATATGATCTCTTTGTATAAAATGCCTTAAATTCAAAAGATTAATAAACATTTAATGTATATTCTATAAAAGATTAAAAAAATAACACATTTCGAGTATCCGGACCCAGTTGAATCCAATCGAGCTTGATAAGAATTTTTTCAAACCTATCTAAAACAACTTGAACAGGTCTGAATGTTAAAAATAAAAAATAAAAAATTCCCAAACCCAACCCAAAGTTTTAGGACTTATTTAAAATTGACCTGAATTACTAACTCTAATAACTAGCACCCTTCAACTTATAGGACAAACGTGCATTTCATTTATGCCCTTCATTGAAATTAATTAATATTAATATTCATAATAAAGTCCCCTATTAGATTTAAAAGCATATCGATTCCCATGAAACATAATTAGACGATGCCAACAATAAATAAACAGGTATGATTAAAAAAAATAATATTACATCTTTATTCTATATTTTGAATAAAATAAAGGGTAAGTTTTTTGTTTTATAATTAAAATCAGAAGGAGCAGTGCACATATATAAATATAAGTACTGCATCTTTATACATATGACTCTTCGTCGCATGTAAATTGTAATGCTGATATATCCTCGAAAATTTGCATACCTGAAAAACGATGCTTGTGCATTGAAACAATCTTATAACACCTTTCCCCTTTACCCGTCAAATGTATGTTTGTCTTAACGTGTCTTTTCACATGGATTTTGCCTCTATTTGTAACGTTGAAATGTTTCGTTTTCAATCAGAATTCTCTCTGTACTCTCTCTCAATACTCAATCATATCTATTCACTTAATTATTCATTTGATTTAATGGTGACATATTATTAATTATGACATTAAAATAAATATACTATTCATTTAATAATGATCAGAAATAATCATTATAAACTTTTTTTAAAAGCATGTAAGAGATAATAGTAAATAATTTATTTATTTTACTGTCATAATTAACAATATGACATGATTAAATTAAATAAATAATTAATTAAATGGATGAGATTGAGCATTGAAATAGATATTGAAAGGGAGTGTGAAGAGAATTTAAATCCGATTCCTCGCAGAGGGTGGTCAGGAAAATGTGAGATGGCCCACAGTTAATTTTGGGCAACACTACCAAGAAATCATGCACACTTGACGAGGAAAACGGACTTGGGGTGTCATTGGATGCCCTTAGCCACCCAATGTACACGTTGCAGCATGTGAAGTTGTGAGCCGTCACTTTTCTTCTATCACGCACACAAATCTTTTTTTGATGAAAATAAAAGTAATTAATTTCCTCAATACTTAATTTTCTGAGCTCATTTGTTTAAAATAAAAACAAAATAATTTTTAAATGGTTTAGAAATTTTATAAAAAAAATTATTTTGTAAAGATTTTATAAAAACATATACTCCCTTCGTTAAAAAATATAATACATTTTTAACTGACTCTTTCCCTCAATAAAGTAATTACTTACTTTCAAACTAACCCTATTTTTTTATATTTATCCCTATTAAATACCCTATAATAAATATAAAATTATTATCAATAGGGGCATTTTTGAAAAAAAATAATGATTACACTTCAAAAGACTAAAAATGCCTTACATTTTTAAATAGAGGGAATATTATTTTATGTTTGGTTGCAATAATAAAAAAGTGATTATTAATTAGTTATTTTTAAATTTTATATATGATATATTTTTTATTTTATAAAAATAATTTATTATTTAATTATTTTAAAACTCTATAATAGACTCGTATATTGAAATTTCCTTTCATCTATCGCATTAAATTATTTTTAAAAGTTACTTAGAGTAGCTTTTTGAAATAATTAGATATATACTTTTTTTTAGATTCTGATTATTTTCAAAAAAAAATTAAACAAACATAATAAAAACTCAATATATATTTTTTTAAAAAATTAATTTTCCATAAAAAAATGAGCCTGCTATTTTTAGGAAAAATTATGGGTAGGTTACATGGAGTAGATTTATTTATAAATAAATTCTGTAAAATTCAAAAACTATAGCCAAGTTTCTAAGAATTTGAGTATAATTTAAAATTAGGGTGCAAAAATAATAATATCCCTATTACATCACATCAATTACTAACTTTTTGTAATTACAATTTCACATATTTGATAGTTAAAGTGATAATATATTATAAGTTTAATACTAATTGTATGCAATTATCTCATTAGTAATTTATAAATATCACTTCAACATTTTACAATTCTAACTTTATATTTTTAATAGTTAAACTAATTATGTATTACTAACAAAGTTTAATATTAATTTTTTATAATTACTTTATTAATAATTTATAACTATGACTTCAACTTTTTATAATTTTAACTTCACATATCTAATAAATAAAGACAATATTGTCTTTACACCCTAATTTTAAATCATAATCATATCCTTAATTTTTAAATTTTATAAAATTTATTTATAAATAAGTTTGCTTCGAAGGACTTACACATAATTTTCCCATATTTTTAATACAATTGCTCAAACAAAATCAGCTAGTGCATAATTAGTTTCCCATACAACAGAAAACCGCATACGGCATACTCAATGTACCAGAAGCTGGTAAAAAAAAAAAGTATGAGAAAAAAAAAACCCATATTCATTGATTAATCGCCTTTTGGTAAAAACCAGACACGGTATTAAGAAAATTAATCCCAAGGCCAAATAAAGACTAAGAATATCCACTTTACTAATCTATATAAAATAAAATCAGATAGTCTTGATTAACAATTCCTCAATTTTAATTTATTAGAATGAATATGCACTTAGGCGAAGAAAAGATAAGATATACATAAAATATTTGCGGCCAGGGAAGCATTAGGAAAGAAATAAATATTTTCTTAAATAATTTTCCTAATCAAATTACATACAAGGAACAGAAAAATGCATGGTTTTAAAAAAAGATTTGCTGATCACTCTCAAAAGTTAACAAATTAACTCAAATTTAAAACCAAAATATGAAAAACCAGAAATTAAAGGTATCAAAGACAGACAATAGTTTGCTATCTGTCTACATGCAACCCCCGTGGCGTTCATGCAGAAGGATAACGGACAAGTTTATTGCTTTATATTCAACACCTTCTTCTTCTTCTTCTCCTCCTCTCACGCTCCAATCTGATCAGTGCTCCTTTCCTGTTCAATTCTTTCTCTGACAAACACCAACAAACTCAAACCAGACTTTCCAGACACCCTTCACTAATGGATTACATAAGCCAACTCCCAGACGACATCCTATGCCTCATCATCTGTCTGCTTTCCGTCGACGAAGCTGTAAGAACCAGCGTGCTCTCCAAGAGATGGAGCGGACTATGGCGATTCAATTCTCACCTTGAGTTTGACGGCAGACGCATGATTATGCCGTTAACTCAGAGACAAAACCCTGAAGAAGCACATGATCCTTATTCTCCTCTTAGTCTTAACTTGAACAAAGGCATCACGCGGTATGGTGATACGATCTCTTCCATTTTGGATCGTCACTCTGGTGATTTGAAAAGCTGTCGATTCATCCATTTTCCTTATAGCATTTTCTGTGAGGAAGTCGTGACCTGGTTGTCATGTGTAATGGGAAAGAATGCGAAAAACGTAAGCCTAGAGTGTGAGTATTTTGACATTGGAACAACCCAGAATTGTCTCCGACAATTACCACTTGCTGAGAGAGTTTCAAAACCTAATTTTCCGACGGGGATTTTCTCAGGATTGCGTTCACTACAGCTCGTTCACTACGCACTGCGCAGTTTAGAACCATTCAAGGGATGCGAGAAGAATCTGAAAACCCTGATTCTGAGAAATGTGAGCATCGATGATGAAACCCTCGAAGGACTTTTGAAGCTCTTGAAGGGGCTGGAGAGTATTTGTCTGTTTGAGTGTATTGGGTTTCGCAAATTTCAGATGTATAATCCCATTTTGAAGGTTTTGCAACTGCATTCTATGATCCTTGATAAAGTAGTTGTTTTTGCAGCGAGGCTTGAAGTTTTACACTTTGATAGTATCATTTCTCCGAAGGCGGGGATGAGAATTTTTTCTCGAAGCCTCAGGGTTATCCGTTGTTACGACCAGTCGATATATGGATCAATGATTTCTTCAAATGAAGGGAGACCCCTTCTCCGATCTGGCCGTCTTCTTGGTCATTACCAACTTTTTTGGGTAAGTTTAATTTGATAGCTAGTGTCGTGATATATGTCTGTCTGATCTCTTTTGTAAATATTGTGCGATAGTGCTAATTAACTATGTCTGCTTTTACACTATGTAGGGTACTAAGAGCAACATTTTGCTGACTCTGACAAAACTTTCAATTGATTTGGACCTACATGATATACTAGAAAGTACTTTAGTTATTTGCTTCTTGCAAGTATGCCGCCGTCTAGAAACTCTTGAAGTCACTTTACCGGTACGCATGTGACATCAAATTTACTCTCAATTCTATTGTACATTTTCAATTTGTTCACTGCACATGTAAACTATTGAAAGGGAGTCTAAAGGTTTCTACTTAAGTCTAGTTTGTTGTCCACTATGCCTTTTAACATATATTTCATATTCATTTGAAAGCGCAAATTTTTATATATTATAGTCCACTCTTGGAGGCTTTTACTATGAAGTCAATGTAGCCAACATCCTGTCATTAATTACAAGGTTCAACAAGAGATAGAGTCAAGAAGAAATATAATGTTTGAGTTGGTTTTGACATCATGTAAGATTTAATCCAACAACTAATGTTAGAATAATTGGCATGGGTTAGATTCTGAAAAGCTACTTTGTGAAAGGAATGTGGTGCGGAGTATGAGGAAGATATTTTCAATGTGACCATTTACTACTTGTAGCAAGGTCTAATTAACAAGGGACAAGAGTAAAAAATATAGAGTTCAAACTAGCTGTGCTGTTAATTAGTAGAAAAAGTTAACCCCTAAGTAATGTGGATATAACTTTTTGGCCTTGTGTATGTGCTCAATCTAGCAATTAATATACCTATGGACATGACTTCAATACCTTAAAAAACACTTTGTGGAAAAAGCCTGTGTTGATTAGGGGGTTGGAGAGATGGGAAGAAGAAATTCTTACGTTTTGTGCGAACAATAAAACGCCATGACAAGATCTTCTAAGATTTAAAATTAACAATTCTATTCATGACTTATGAACTATGAATGGCTTTTTATAAATTTCACACAGTGTAGATATTTCTTTCCTGACGTCAATGTGCTCATGATCAGAGTTTGCACTGATTTATATATAGATCCATGATATGTACTTCATAACTTGCTTCTGTCTTATTACAGGCCGTTCCTGATGATGAAGGATTGATCGATAGATGTGCTTTCTGGCAGTCTCAAGAGGCTTGTGATTGTGTCAAGAACCAGCTTAAGTTCGTCTACTTGAGAGTGTTCAAAGGAAACACTCAAGAGTTTGAATTATTGAGGCACATCGCAGGAAATGGCAAGAAACTTGAGAAACTTACCATTGTATGCGGCGAAGAAATCGAAACAGAAAGGATGGCGTCTCTGACCAGTGTTGCTCCTAATCTTTCAATCGTCTGGAAACTCCAAAAACATGAAGATGGTCAAGAGATCGATGAACTTCAAGAAAGGGCAATGATAAGTTATAAATAGATCTCAACAAGTCGGTGTTCAGGTGCTTGCAGCTATGTGTGTCAATGGACGTGGTACTTCGAGGTAATTAATAAGTACTCATCAATGTTGCAATGTGTGTTAGAAAGAAATTTCTGTGTTTGTAATTAATGCTAAGTATGTGTGTTGCTATGGAGTAGTTTAATTTGTCTGAATTTATTTGAACACCGGTGACTTAGCTTTAATTGTATGTTATTCTAACATGTCTGCTTCTTTGGTGAATTAATAAATACCTAGTAAAACAACTTCATTATTGTTACCTTAGATTTTTACGATGATAATTACTCGATCTCATGGGCCATAGTATAGGTTATTTTCTAAAAGCCTTTGCTTGATTTAAAATATAGGGGCATTGAGTAGGTTTTATATTTCTTTTCAATTATATATTTTGAATAATTCAAATGTTATATTTATTTTATTTAAGGATATAGTGGAAAATAAGATTAAGGTGCATTTTTGCCTTTAAAATATTTTTCGAGAAGCACTCAATACTTTAATATTTTTATTGGAGCAATTTGCCCTCAAAGTTATTAAAACGGAACATTTTTACCCTTTACATCAAAATTCCAACATTGATTGTTAGAAAATTTGATAAAATGAACAAAAATGTTCTATTTTAATAATTTTAAAGATAAAATTGCTCCAACAAAAACGTTAGGGTATTAGGTGTTCTTCAAAAAATATTTTAAGAGCAAAAATGCACTTTTATTCGTTGAAAATATGTAAAAAAAATTTAGAAAAACAAGATTTTAACCAACTATTTTAGAAGTATAAATTAATTAATAATGACTTATATTGTGATTGATGAGGGAGTATGTGATAACACAAGAATTGCTACCGCTGCTGTGCATTTTTTTTTTAATGAAAAAAACCAATACTGATGTTACATGCAAATTAACTAGAGATATCGTTCCATTTAGGTTAGACATGGAGGAGAAAGAAACATAATTTCTGTTACGATTTTACAATGACGAGAAAAGAGACCACTTACCAAAACGATAATTCCCATATTTCTTACTTTAAAAGAACATTCCGCCGTCCAAGATATAATCTTCAAATTAAAGACTACTGAAAAAAATTTGGCTTGACCTTAATAAGTAGAAAATTAATAGTAAAAAAAGAAATGAGTAGAATAATTCAATAAAATAAGGTTCTACCCTTTCTTCTTAAGTTCTCTTTCCGAACTAGTTATTAACTTCAAATTGTGAAATCCCATTGAAGAAAGAGATAAGGTTTTTTTGCTTATTTGTGATCATTTTTTAATATATATATATATATATATATAGTAACCTCTATTGTTGTCGTTTAATTTTTTAAGTCATTTCAATTGGCCCTCTGACCACATTTATATTATTTAATAATTGTTATGTCTTTTATTTCTATGTATTATTTGTATGATATAATTGACATGCTAACCCTCATGTTTGACATAACTAGATTCAAGTTCAAATATTAATGAAACTCACTTATGAGTTATTGTTCCTGTGAGAATGAGTTTAAAAAGAAAATCCAATCCATTCCAAAAAAGCTAACTTATTGAGTAGAAAAGTCTCTTAAACTTATTATAAACCACATTTACTTTATGAGATTCCCTAATGTGAGAGATAACAATGTACCCATGTTTAAGAGCCAACCTTCTTCCGATTATAACCTTCCATAGGCAGCCATCTCCATAACATTCTCTTAATAAAAGTATCAACATTACAAGCATTAGTTCAAAAAGAGAACATATTTTAAAAGACTAACACATATGTTGAATGAAAAAACTCCTTACTCAACACTCTTCTAAAAGAATGTTTTATACATTTATATGGATTCGAACTTAAAAACTTGTATTTTAAGCGGTCATTGTCTTCTCCAATGTGACTAGCTAATGTAGAACTATAAATTTATTTTTTAGATGGGCCCAATGAAGGAAGACCTTTTTTTTCTTATTATTTTTAATCTTTTATATATACAACGAAGTATTCATTTTTATGCTCTTTTTAGGGGAAAGATGGTATATAAAATTTAAAAATAATAAAAACTTTATTATATATGATTAAAAATACTTACAATACTTTTACTATTATTTATTTTATTTTCAAAAAATACTAGTTTGATTTATTATATTTTTATCTCTTTAAAATATTTCTCTTATAGATAATACGTTTATTTTATATTTGAGATATATAAATAAAGTAAAAATATCTTGAAGTTAGTAAAGAAAATTTTTCTTTTCAAAGTTAAGTTAATTTTTGAGAGAATTACTCTAAAGTCTTACTCATTATAATTAATTACTTTTAGGTTCATTGACAATTGAGTTTGAAAAAATAATAACACATTATTTTTATAATTTCTATCTAACAAGAAACATGAGAACACGTTGTATTATTATTCTCCTAAGCTCAGTTGTTAATGGATCTTAGAGTATTAAATAAGATTCATATGTAATTCTCACTTTTTTTTTTGGTTTTAGTTAATCGCAAGTTGTCATTCATTTTTTTAATTGTTAAATTGTTTAATCTTTGGTCATATGTTATAAACAGTAACTATTGTGGAAGTCGTTTCGAAAAAACATAGGAACAAGCTTGGGTTTTGTCGGCTGAACAAGATTTCCTTGTACATACATACATATTCTTCTCTATCCTTCTTAGTTGGCTTGCTGCATTCCGCGCCCCCCCCCCCCAAACAAAAACTTCTGATACACGCTCTCATTAACAGTGTTTTTTTTCCCACGTTAAAAGCTATTAAAATTATAGTCCAATGGTTTTAAACGGAAAGCACTAAAGACCAGCCAAACACACACTAATTTATCCGGCAATATTGAGTTGAGTTTATTAATTTACGATGAAGTCATGTTTCTTGTTACATAGGAATTATACAAACAAATGTTCAATGGCTGTTCTTGATTATGTACGTACGCACCACAGAAACACACACTATAACACGCTCTTGTCTGTATACTTTTGTAAAGTAAAAATAAAGATGATCTGTGTTCGTCTACCAATCTCTTTGTCATGTATATATGCTTGGAGAACAACGTTCACTTTCTCTGGAATAGCTGATATAGTGTATGGTGCATCGATTCCTTTTGGTTTGCATGCAGAGAACCTAGCGATCAATTCTCATCATACCCATACAATGTTTCAAAATTGTTATCTCCGACTAAATTAATTAGTTACATTACCCTACTGTGGCACTCCACTGATCTCAATCTATATATATGCAAGAATCTACGTATCAATTTCATTGAAACACAACAACACAGGCACATAGAGACACAGACAGTAAGAGAAATGTTTCAAGCAACAACATTAGTGGCGTTACTAATGGCAGCGATATTAGTAGCGATAAGATGGGGGTGGAATATGGTGAAATGGTTGTGGCTGAATCCTAAGAGGATGGAGAGGCTTCTCAGAGATCAGGGCCTTCAAGCCAATCCTTATCGATTCTGGATTGGTGACTTGTGGAACATGGTTCAAATGCAGGAACAAGCCAAATCATTATCTATTCCCTCTCATTCCCATGATCTTGCTCCTCGTGTCTATTCCTTCGTCCACCACATTGTCAAGAAATATGGTGATGGAGCTTTTGTTTTAATTAATCATTGTTACTGATTTTAATTAGAGTGCTTCAAAGATTACTGCTTAGTTATCAATTAATTATGCAGGGAAGAGTTCATTTATGTGGTTTGGACCGACACCAAAACTGATCCTGATGAATCCAGAGCAAATAAAGGAACTGTTAAATAGGAATTATGAATTCACGAAACGTCACATGAATCCTATTATCAAGTATATAGGATCTGGTGTCGGAACCTATGATGGTGACAAGTGGACTAAACATAGGAAGATCATTAATCCAGCTTTCCATTTGGACAGACTGAAGGTTCCTTATTTTCTTCAACCAAACGTTTAGGATCTTCTTAATAAATAAGATATATATGGCTTCATATTAATTTGGTAACTCTTATGTTATGCTGATAATTTTAACTTCCATTAATTTTCTGCTTTTTGCCCCAGACTATGATGCCAACCTTTTACCAAAGTTGCAGTGAGATGATAAATGAATGGGAAAAAATGTTGTCTCCATTAGATGGAACGTGTGAAATGGATGTATGGCCTTGGCTTAAGAATTTGACAAAAGATGTTATTTCTCGAGCAGCCTTTGGAAGTAGCTATGAAGAAGGCAGACAAATATTCGATCTTCTCACAGAACAAGCCGAACTTGTTATGAATAATTTGCAAAGATACTACATTCCGTTTTGGAGGTAATTAAGATTAATATCTAACTCAGCTAGAAAGCATGAATTGGCCATGATACACACATCAGGACGAAACTCTTCAATTATGGAATGTTAGTTAAAAGTCAATTTGCAGGTTTATACACGCCAAGGACAAAAGGAGGATGGAAGAAATTGATGGGATTGTGGAAGATTTACTGAAGGGAATCATCGAGAAGAAGGAGAAAGCTCTGAAGGCAGGTGAAGCCATAATCAAGAATGATCTGCTAGGCATACTTTTAGAATCCAATCACAAGCAGATTGAAAGCCAAGGAAATTACCAAAACAATATTCTTGGGATGAGTTTGCAAGAAGTGATCTACGAATGCAAGGTGTTCTACGTGGCAGGCCAAGAAACCACCTCGGCTTTGCTTGTTTGGACCATGATGTTGTTGAGCAGGTACCCTGATTGGCAAACACGTGCACGGGAAGAAGTCCTCCAAGTCTTTGGCAATCAAAAACCAGATTTTGAAGGGTTTAGCCGCCTCAAGATTGTAAGCATGATCTTTTTTCTACTTTTTTACTTTATAATAAACAGATTTACTCATGAATATACACACTTTGCCACTGTAGGTGACCATGATCCTATATGAGGTTCTTAGGCTATACCCACCAGCAATATGGATGGAGCGATCTGCTGAGAAGGAAATGAAACTTGGGAATTTGACAGTACCAGAAGGAATGCAGTTTTCTATACCAATACTTTTACTTCATCATGACCAAGAGATATGGGGGAGTGATGCCAACGAGTTCAAACCAGAGAGATTTAGTGAAGGAATCTCAAAGGCAGCGAAAGGCAATTCCGTTGCATTCTTTCCATTTGGGTGGGGTCCTCGAATTTGTATTGGACAAAATTTTTCCTTGCTAGAGGCTAAGATGGCTCTCTCTTTGATTCTACAACAGTTCTGGTTTGAGCTCTCTCCTATATATTCTCATGCTCCTTTCGTTGCCATTACTCTCAAGCCAGGCCATGGGGTTCATGTCATTCTACATAAACTCGAACAATAAATTAGCATTGGCGTGAGTCAATATATAAGTATCCTTGCGGGCTTTCTTTCTTTCTTTCTTTTTATTTTTCAATTTCAAGTTTATATATATAAAAGATAAATTTGTCGCACATTAATTTTATCAAGGGTACTCACGCATGATATGTAATGTATCCTCAAGCTAATATGAAATATGCTTGGCCACAATTACGGATTTTTGCTACTCTAATAGATAAAAAATTCATCAATTGTAAATTTAAAAAAAAAAGTTTAGTTACATCTAACAGATTTTTGGCCACAATTATGGATTTTAATTTGGTCCATAGAGGCACGCGACAAGATTTTTTAGGGCAAGACTTAAGAACTTCATTTTATATATCTAATATACTTTCATCCAATCAAATTAAAATATGTAAATTTTAATGTCTTAATAATATTAATAATAAAAATTTGTTATAGGATAAATAATTTATAAAAGATTTAAGTACATAAGTTTTTCCCTATCTTTCTTTTATACTCTCATCATACACGCACAAATCCTTCTTTTCTGGCCGTTTTACAATTTTCTTTTATATTTTGATATATGCTTTACCATTTCAAATATAATCACCGATTAATTTTTTTGTTCAAAATATAAATCGTTTTTAATTGTCTGGATTATTAAATGACATTTTTTAATATATATCAAATTACCACTGGTTAAAATTTGAGATTAAAAAAACTGTAAGAAATAAATTAAATAAGACATTGAGATTTTCAGAATGATTCCATTTACTATGGAGGGAGCAGGCCAACCATTCAATTTAGGGACAAATTTGAAATAAATTAATATCTTTGGTATAAATTAATAAATTAATGAGTATCTTAAACTTTAAACTATTGTGAAAATAATATTCTTAACCTTGAACTCTGAAAATTGCAAAAACTCTCATCAACTTTTAAATTCTAAATGTTTGAAATCTTGTCATTAAATTGAAAAAAATAGCCATTATTTTTATAAATGTGAAATTTAGTGACACGATAATGGGACACTCATCTTAACCCTTAAAAATAATAATCGTTTTCTTCAACTTAATGGTGAAATTTTAGACACTTGAAATTAATAAATTAAGAAGTATTTTGCTTATTTTAAAAGTTTAAAATTTAAAGTACTATATATGCAATAGTTTAGAATTTAAAATTTTCATTAATTTTAAATTAATTAGCTAAACCACTACAGGAATACACAGGGGCCGGCCCAAAACCCAAAAAACAAAAACAAGAAGACAGAGACACACCTTCACTTTCTTTTGTTTATGCACTTTTGTAGTGCAACAATATAAGATTGTTTGTTTTACCGAATCTCTGACTTGTATGCTTAGAGAACAACGATGGCCCCTCACCATGCAAATGTCATCATCTTTCGCTTCCCCTTCCTCTCTGAAATAACTGATATAGTTTGTGCTGTGTCGATTCCTTTTGTTTGCACGAGAGAACGTAACAATCAATGCTCATCATATACTCATAATAATGTACGTTTCAAAATTGTTAACTCTGACTAAATTATTACATTTGCCACACCCTAATATTAAACATATGACCGACATAAAATATAAAATAAACTCATATTTTATAAACTTTAATTAGTTTAAAATTAAGCTAAACTATCAATATATAAGTTATATACAATAATAAAGTTTGTAAATTTTTAAATATTTTATAAAAATTTCGACATAACCTCCCTCAAAGTTTGGACCTCCTGAAATTTCTATAATAATAAAACATGTTAACCAAACTAGAAAAGGAGACTAGTTTCATAACAGCAAGCTACCAACTGAACAAAAATATATAATTATGGTGTACGGGGAGCTTTAATTTTTGATTACAAAATACAATACATAATTTTACTAAAAAAGTTAATTACAATGTGCTTCCTTTTTTCAAAAAAGAAATTGGACCCCTTAATATTTACAAGAGGAGCAGGGTTAGCTACAATATTTAAGACAAAAAAAAAATTTGGTGAATAATGTCCTAATTTATAGTTGAAAGAATTAATAGAAAGCAAATCAATAAGTCAAACATCAAAGACTAGATAAATTTATAAACCCTGAATATATAAATTCAAATAGAATTATAAGGAGTTCAATTTTTCTTTCCTTCTTTAAATTTCTATATATATTTAAACATCTTGGAGCTATATATATATATTGCTCAATATAAAATCAATATATAATAAAAAAGAAGTTTGCTTTTTGAAATTAAATTAAAAAAATAAGTTTCAAAACTCTTTCTTTAGTGGAACTTAATTAAAATGATTAACAAGCGTGAATATACAAACTAAGAGGGTAAATAACCGACAAGCGAGATCAAAAGCCATGAAATAATCAAATGTGGTTAGAAGTCACGAAACAAGCACAGACATGAAGCTCATAAAATAAGCATAAGTACAATACTTATGAATATTCATCCCTTCATTTCATGTACATTGGCTTACACACGGGGCTAATACTTCTTATAAGCATCTTACTAGTTAGGTGTACCATGACGAGTTAAGGACTAATGAAATTGTCATTAGCAATCAGCATTCTGAAATCAGTCCCCCAATTAATTTAAAACAAGCATGCATGGGTTATAAAAATAAACATTTTTGTTCTTTTCAATACAATCATTATAAAATAATATCTTCAATGCTTTTCCATGCATGAATCATAATAAATAATCATTTTCTAACTGAACGATCAATCATCATTAACATAATAAATACTTGTGAACTTTCATTCAATAGATTAATTCCAATTCCTTTCATAAAATTTCATGGAATGCTAGAATTTTTAAATATAATAGTTGATAATAAAATTAAATCATAACATCAAATATGTATATTAAATATGAATATATGTAAAAAATTTCAAAGAAAGTAAAGTGTTTGCATGTATTGAAAAAGAAAATCAAAATTATCAAAGCTAATAAAAATAAATTCACAAAATAAAAAAATTTAAATTATAAAACATCTCGTTATTAACAAAGTTGTTATTAAAATAATTTATAAAAATATAATATTTTAAAAAAATAATTTTATGGATAAATTAGTTGAGACGTACTCATGCATTTGAGAGATTCTCAAGAATTTTAAAATTTACCTCTCTTAACTTTACATTTTAATTTTAACAATGCCCTTAATCTCCTTACAAACACATTAATGTTTTAAAAGCTCGTTCATTTTCACTTCTTACTTTAATTTCAATTGTGTCACTAATTTCTTAACAAATAAATCACCATCCTAAAATTAATTAATTATTATTTTCTTAATATAATTAAGATAATATTTAACATCTTAATTTCTAACAACTAATAAAGTTCTCTTTACCCTAAATAAATTATTCCTACACTTTATTTCACTAGCCAAATAATTCTTTCAATGCATTAGTGGCGTATAACTTGATCTCAAATAATATTTCAATTAAACATATATAACCAACAAGAATAAGAGAAATTTTTTCATTCATTTATGCCTTCTTAATATTAGTAAAGCACTAAAATTCAGCTCACAATAATCACCCAACCATTTAATCAACTTCCACCATTAATTTTATCATCAAACATTCAGCTTAATCAATAAAATAAATTGGTGTATAATATCAAACAAAACAGCACCTTAATCCCACACACAACTCGCAACAGCAAATTGGAGAAAAGAACAGAACCACCAACTAGAAGAGGGAAGAAATCAAGCTTACCCCACAGACGCGCGCACACACGATGCCAGCTACAGAGGAAGAAGAATAAATATAAACTGAACATGCTTACACACAACTCTAATAGCCACAACACAGAGCAAAAACGAGGAAGAAGATTCAACCTTTCAGCAGTGAAATTTTAACAGCAAAGTTATAAGATCGACGGTGAAGCTAGAAGATCTGAAACCACTTACTTCCCTTGGACACAGAGCAAGGGCCGATGACAAAGAAGGAGTATTTATTGACTCAACCTCACTGCTGTAAATAACGTGAATAGAGAGAAGAGAAACAGAAATTTCATATAAGAAAAAGGAGAGATTGAGCTTACTATGCACGCACATACGGACATCCAACTGTTGAGGAAAAGAAAAGAACAGAGACGAGCACGCACGCACGCACGCACGCAAGTCTGTCACCCACAAAACAGAGTAGAAACGAGGAAGAGATGCAACTACTCGACACAGCAGAAATGAGCAAACAACAGAGGGAAAGGATAAACAGTTTCCGGCGATGAAGAAACGAGCACACTAACGGGTAGGTTTTATGGTAGCGCAACAAGAAGCGAAGAGGAAAAAAAAAGAGGAAGAATCGCGAGCGATCTCTCTCTTTCTGTGTGTATCACCGACTAAGAGGGAGAAGAATATGAATAAAAAGTCTATGGGGAAATTACAAAATAAGAGTTGAAAAAATTAAAAAATAAAACCCAACTAAATTTTTATTATTGATATTGTAATTTTAATTTTATAATTTTTTTTAAAACTACGAGTAAGGACACTTTAATACTTCCTTCATATAAAAAAAATAAAATTAATCTTTAATTTAAGTCGGTTTTGAAGTAATTAGTATAAATTTTATTAAATTAATACTTCTCATATCTTATAAACTAAAATAATTAAATAAAGTTTTAGTAGGAAAAAAAATTATTTAAATTAAATTTTTGGGCCATTACAACATTTTCCTTCCGTACTGAGATACTCCACTCAGTCTATATGTATGCCCGAGTATACGTATCAACTTCATTCAAACCCAGCGGAAGATATAACATGGAGACAGACACTGAGAGAAATGTTTCAAGCAACAACGTTAGCGGCGTCACTAATGGCAGCGATAATAATAGTAAGATGGGTATGGAACATGGTGAAGTGGTTGTGGCTGAACCCTAAGAGGATGGAGAGATCAGTGCTCAGAGAGCAAGGCCTTCAAGCCAATCCTTATCGATTCTGGATTGGTGACTTGTGGAAAATGGTTCAGATGCAGAAACAAGCCAAACCCTTAATCATTCCCTCTCAGTCCCATGATCCAGCTCTTCCTGTCTACTCCTTCGTCCGACACACGGTCAAGAAATATGGTACAGTGCTTGATTATTATTCATTACTATTAGTGTGCTTCAAAGATTATTACTGCTTAATTAACAATTAATATGCAGGTAAGAATTCATTTATGTGGTTTGGACCGACTCCAAAACTGATCCTGATGAATCCGGAGAAGATAAAGGAACTGTTAAACAGGAATTATGACTTCACAAAACGTGACACAATTCCTATTATCAAGTACATAGGCTCTGGTGCCGGAACCTATGATGGGGACAAGTGGACCAAACATAGGAAGATCATCAATCCAGCATTCAATTTGGACAGACTGAAGGTTCCTTATTAATTTTCTTCGTCACTGAAATCAATAGTTGTGTCTTTAATGTTATATGCTGAGAATTTTGATTTTCATTATCTTCTTGCCGCAGAATATGATTCCAGCCTTTTCCCAAAGTTGCAGTAACATGATAAGAGAGTGGGAAAATATGTTGTCTCCATTGGACGGAACGTGTGAAATAGATGTATGGCCTTGGCTTAAGAATTTGGCAAAGGATGTCATTTCTCGAGCAGCTTTTGGAAGTAGCTATATATGAAGAAGGCAGACACATTTTTTATCTTCTCACTTTTTTTTTTTTTGGGCCAAAGCAAGCTGAACTTGTCATGAATAATTTGCAGAGATATTACATTCCATTTTGGAGGTAATAATTAATACTGTAATATCTAATTAACTCAACAGCTGAGGAAGCATTAAATTTAAAATATCAGTGCTAAAGTCTTACAATTATGGAATGCCCATCAATTAATCAGGTTTATACACGCCAAGGACAAGAGGAGGATGGAGGAAATTGATAGAATGGTAGAAGAATTACTAAAGGGAATCATTGAGAAGAAAGAGGAAGTCCTGCAAGTAGGTGAAGCCATAATCAGGAATGACCTGCTTGGCATACCTTTAGAATCAAATCACAAAGAGATTCATCAAAACCAAAGAAACCAAAACAATAATGGGATGAGTTTGCAAGAGGTGATCTACGAATGCAAGGTTTTCTTTGCAGTAGGCCAAGAAACCACCACGTCTTTTCTTGTTTGGACCATGATGCTGTTGAGCAGCTATCCTGATTGGCAAACACGTGCAAGGGCAGAAGTTTTCCAAGTCTTTGCAATCAAAAACCAAATTTTGAAGGGCTCAGTCACCTCAAGATTGTAAGTATGATCTCTTCTACTTTTTACTTGATAATAAACTGAGTTACTACTCATGAATATACACACACTTTCCCACTATAGGTGATGAGGATCCTATATGAGGTTCTCAGGCTATACCCACTAGCAGTATGGATTGAGCGAACTGCTGAAAAGGAAATGAAACTTGGGAATTTGACAGTACCAGAAGAAGTGCAGTTTTTCATACCAATACTTTTACTTCGTCATGACCAAGAGATATGGGGTAGTGATGCCAATGAGTTCAAACCAGAGAGGTTCAGTGAAGGAATCTCAAAGGTAGGGAAAGGCAATTCCGTTGCATACTTTCCATTTGGATGGGATCCTCCAATTTGCATTGGCCAAAATTTCGTCTTATTGGAAGTTAAGATGGCTCTCTCTATGATTCTACAACAGTTCTGGTTTGAGCTTCCTCCCACGTATTCTCATGCTCCTTCTGTCATCATCACTCTCAAGCCAGACCATGGGGTTCGTGTCATTCTACATAAACTCCAATAATGAATTAGCATATTTGGTGTGAGTCAATATATATGTAGTTTGAAATTGTGATCCTATTGTGGGGGTTTTTTTTCCCCTTCTAAAGTTTATATGTAAAAGTAATAAATTTGTCGCACGTTAATTTTGTCAAGTGTACATGTGCCTTATATGTTTGCTCAAACTAAGATAAATATTATTGGCCACAATTATGGATTTTTAGCCATTTTAATAGAGGAACCCTGTATAATATAACTAGACGTCAGATTTTGGCCCATATAGAAAACTTTGAAATCGAATGCGTGAATGCTGAAAGGGGGAATACAAATCCAACTTCAAAACTAGCCCTTTTATACAGATAAATAAGGGTGAAAATGAGGTTTAAAAATGTATACGTCCATGGAAAAATTGAATAATTTTTATTGATATTTTTATCTATAGTATAAAAAGATTAAAATGTCCTTGCCTCCAACATGAAGCTTAGAATAGGAAATAGGCTGGCCAACGGGCTTAACCCCATAATCCAATTACTTCAAAATCAATTATTTTCTTAAGTCTGGTATTTATTTAAAAGGTTTAAAGCTGAGCCTATAAATCCATCTTTATTATTATTATTATTATTATTATTATTATTATTTAAATTTTTTAAAATTAAAATTTGTAATTATAATATTTCGTATTTTTTTAAAATACAAATTTTAATGTTCAAAAATTTAAAATAAATGATAAAAATTGTAATTTTAAAATATAGATATATATTTAAAAGTTAAAAATATTTTATTTTAAAGGTAAAACAAAAAAAAAAGCCCCTAAACCCACTTTTTGAGGGCCAATTTGGGCTTAAAAACCTAGTTTCTTAAAAAAAAAAAATGCCTTTTTTAAGGTTGAATTCTTGTGAAAGAGAGCCAATCTGGGTCACACGTTAGGTTCAATCTTTATTCCTAATTCTACTTGAAGCAACATACATATACACACACACACACACACACACACACATAGAAATAGAAGTTGCTGAAACTAAAAGTCAGAAATACAGGAAAACTACCCACTATTATTTCCTAAAACAGAAAATCACGCCTCACCACCACATGAAATGCTTTTTGTGTTTCATCATGAAAAAGCATGGTTTCTTGGCGTGTAACTTATTCCATTAATGTTAACTCCATTTTATTTTATCCCAAATATTTTTTTTATGCAAAATTTTATCCTAAATTCTCACCTAAAAGAAGACAGTCATTTTCTGAATAATTAATTTTTGAATTTTAGCTCTTATCATCTTGCCAAACTGAAAAAGGGATGAAAAATTAGTAAATAGGAAGGTCAAAAATAAAATCTAAATATATTTTATGTATAATCTACAAAAGAAATAAATACTTTGGAGCTAATATTTTTGATATAATTATTCATAATCTGGTACATTAATGCTAGTACATCCTCAAAATTTTGCATATACATTTAAAAAGCTATATATGTACACGTACCAAAAAACCATGTACAATGAACACCACTTTGGACCAAAACCAGACATGAGACATGGTATTAAGAAAACACAAGCTCAGATAGTGAATATATGGATATCCACTTTACCAATCTCTGTAAAATGAAATTAGATAGTCTTAATTATAATTCCTGAATTTTAATTAATAAGAATGAATGTGCACATTGGTCTAGAAAATAATATATATATATATATATATATACATACACTCACACACATATAATTGCCGGCATGAAGGCTTTATGGTTATTCAATAATACATAAACTAATTAAAAATAACATTTATATGATATTTTTAAACTTGTGTTCTCTTTCGCTTTCTCTTTTATAGAACCGCTAGATTATTATATAGAGAATTAGAGATATTTGCTAGACAAGAACAAAGAGAGAAACAGTTTCTGGCCATTTTGGCGGAACTCTGTCTAGTTCCAACGGAAGTCTACTTCTTGTATACAAAACAAACAAAATTTTAGAGTTTAGAAAGGCTACAGAACAGAAAGAGAGAGACTAATTCCAAAAAAAGAAGATCCGGCGTTGGCCGGCATGAACGCTTTCTGGTAAGTCAATCATGCATAAACTAACACTCGCATATATAATATTTTCAACTCGTTCTCTTTCGCTCACTCTTTTCTAACTGTGAGATTATTATCGTATATATAGATATACGCCAGACAAGAACAAAAAGAGACAAATTAAGGGGGTAGAGAGAGAGAGATGATCGGAGCGTCGGCGATATCAGTGGCGGTGGTTGCAATTATAGGAGTGATAGCAGTGATAAGATGGGGTTGGAAGATGACGAAGTGGCTATGGGTGAATCCGAAGAAGCTGGAGAGGCGTCTGAAAGAACAAGGGCTTGAGGCTGATCCTTATCGATTCTGGGTTGGCGACTTGATCAGAATGGTGAAGATGCAGCAACAAGCCAAGTCCTCTGCCTTGCCCACCCATTCCCATGACTTGGCCCCTCATGTCTTCTCCTTTGCCCACCACATTGTCAATCAACACGGTGCCCTAACTTTCTCTCTTACTCTGATTATTTTAAGTTTAACCATCTCATTCGATTCTGTTAGCAATTGTATATGCTTTCCCAGCGATTTGTAATTAGAGATGGGAATATGAATTGGATTGTACCGGTTGTCATTTAACCCATATTATTATTTTTTAATTTTTTTTTAACAATGTGAGGATCTAAGAAAAGGAGAAAATTCATCCACTGTCTAAAAAGTCAAACTCATGTTCATGAGATAATGTGAATTACATGATATGGGGTTTAAATTGGGTTAGTGGGTTGGTTCGTTTACAACCTATGAACACACAACTCCAGTTAGAATCGTTGGTCAAACTCAATCCATTTTTTTCTGCCAACCTAGCTCATATGATTTTATCCATTTTGAATTGGAAAAACATAATTATTGGTTTATATAATTTTATTGAATTTTATTTTTAATTTCTATAGTTTTTCTCAATGTTTTCAATTTCTTTAAGAACTAAAACTTAAAAAAATAACAAATATCACTCAATTTTATTGAAATTACAATGATTGAAAATACTGAAAAAATTAAAGTGATTAAAAACAAAATTCAATAAAACTATAAAAATCAATAATTATGCTTTTCCTTGTGAATTTAAAAAAATCAGCTTGAAGAATTAATTTTAATAATTATAATCAAGTAATTCATATAAATATATATATATATATATATATATATATTTTAACTTCGGAATTGAAATGGTGTCAATGTAAGATGGAAATAAGCGTGTCAACATAATGTATCTCTATGATTTTTTTTTTTTTTTGGGGTAGGTAATATCAAATTGTATGTATATATATACAGGAAAAGCTCTCACATTTTAATCAAGAGTGAATTTTTTTAATTAAAATAAAAAAGTTTGGTATCATAAATAGAAAAGTAATTTCTTTCTAATTCAACTAGTGCAGGTAAGAACTCATTCATGTGGCTCGGACCTACACCGAGGTTGATCCTTATGGATCCAGAGCAGATAAAAGATGTGTTCAACAGAAATTACGACTTCATAAAGCCTCACACGATCCCTATTATCAAATATTTATCCACTGGTCTTGCAAGCTATGATGCTGATAAGTGGACTAGACACAGAAAGATTATCAATCCAGCATTCAATTTGGAAAAATTGAAGGTTACTAGTCTTACCAAATTAACCTTTGCTTACACATCTATACAATAATAACTAATAAATATTATATAGATTTGTTTGCATGTTATTCTGACAGCATCCTGCAGGCAGACTCAATTTCTTACCAAATTTGCAGACTTTGTCTCTCAATTAATTAATGAATTTATCTCTCTACAGACTCTGATTCCAATCGCTTGCCAAAGTTGCAATGACATGATCAACAAATGGGAGAACATGTTGTCCCCAACAGATGGAACATGTGAAGTGGATGTATGCCCTTGGCTTAAGAATTTGACAAAAGAAGTGATTTCTCGAGCAGCATTTGGAAGTAGCTACGAAGAAGGCAGACAAATATTCGATCTTCTAACAGAACAAGCTGAACTTGTCATGAATAATGTAGTGAAACATCACATTCCATTATGGAGGTAAATTACTAAGACTCACATGCGCTGAAATGTCAGTGATCTATGCTTTAGACTCGTAGATTAGCACTGATGAAACCTTCTTGAATAGGTTTGTACCAACTCAGGAGAACAAGAGGATGAAGGAAATTGATAGAAACGTGGAAGCTACACTAGAGTTCATTATCAACAAGAAGGAGCAAGCCATGAAGGCAGGTGAAACCACAAAGGATGATCTACTAGGCATACTTTTAGAATCAAATCACAAGGAGATTGAGAAACAAGGGAACAAGAAGAACGTGGGGTTGAGCATGAAAGATGTGATTGAGGAATGCAAGTTGTTCTACATAGCAGGCCAAGAAACCACTTCTGCTTTATTGGTTTGGACTATGATGCTATTGAGCAAGTATCCTGATTGGCAAGAACGTGCAAGGGAAGAAGTCCTACGAGTCTTTGGCAACCAACAACCAGACTTTGAAGCACTAAGTCGCCTTAAGATTGTAAGTGTGTCTGTGAGTGAGTGTCAGATATATCACATATAAAGCTTTTCAAATAAATTAATTATACTTTTTAATCAAACAATAAAGAAATATATACTACAATTTAACCAGAAACATGTATTTATACTTGTAACAAATTGAAATTTGCCATTACAGGTGACAATGATCCTGTACGAGGTTTTGAGGTTATACCCACCAATAGTATGGCTAGAGCGGTATGCTGAAAAGGACATAAAACTTGGGAAACTGTTAGTTCCTGGAGGAGTACAGATTTGCATACCAATACTTATGATGCACCATGACCAACAGTTGTGGGGAGATGATGCCAAAGAGTTCAAACCAAACAGATTTTCTGAAGGATTCTCAAAGGCATCAAAAGGCACTTCTGTTGCATTCTTCCCATTCGGAGGAGGTCCACGAATCTGCATTGGACAGAACTTTGCCCTGCTGGAAGCTAAAATGGCTCTGTCTTTGATTCTGCAACGTTTCTCTTTCGAGCTTTCCCCCACATATTCTCATTCTCTCACCACCGTCATCACTCTTCAGCCTCAACACGGAGTTCAAATCATTCTGCATAAATTGTAATGATTTTTCTTTTTTTTCTTTTTTTTATATTCAGGTACTGATTTCTCGTGGACCAAATGACTTCACTGTCATTATCGGGTTTGTGTATTAGTTCAGTACAATCCATATCTCCTATACTTGAAGAGAGAGAAAGTATATGGGCACCTCATCTAAGCATTGAAATACAACGTTGAGAATTTGAGAATAGCGAATGAGGAGTCCAAAATGTCTCCAAATCCATACAGCCACCACTTGGAACTGCTCCCCCGTCTGAGCTCCAGGGAAAAATTATAATCCAAATTCTTCACAACTTGACCTACTTTTATTGGCTGAAATCGTGTATTCTAACTTGATGTGAAGTTGAGAGATTCCAAGTAGGTGAAAATCACGATAAAAAAATTGCTAAAAGGAAAAGCATAAAAAGAAAAACACAAATGCAACTTCAACCTAACCCTTCATTAATTCTTACATATATAATACACAGCAGAGTATGACATTAATATGAGTTGTCCGTATGCCTTTAACATATTTTTTCATATAAATGTGATTATTACAGCTGCAAGCAGCAAAGCACAAGTAAATAGATGACAATCGACTTTCTATGAAAACTCTCAAATCAAAGTCCAGTTTAATATAGGTAACAGAAAGAGAACTCAGAGACGGTAGAGCAGGTGAAAGAGACGAATCAGAAAAAAGATATCACACACTTCTATTAGCATTCTATTGTCTTCCAGTGAGGAAAGAGGGAGATTGAGTGGTGTTTCACTCGATCTTCCTTTCTACTCGCATCAAGGTACAATAACTCCATAAAATGTAATGCAAAGACTGACACTCATATATATAATACTTTAAACTTGTTCCCTTTCGCTTACTCTTTTCTCTACTGTAGGATTATATATAGATAGACACCACACATAAAAGAATCACACACTCAGAGAGAAATGACAGGAGCATCAGTAATACTAATATCAGTAATGGCCATATGGATAGGAGTGATAACAGTGAACAGGTGGGTTTGGAAGATGACGAAGTGGCTATGGGTGAATCCAAAGAAGATAGAGAGGTGTCTGAAAGAACAAGGGCTTGAGGATGATCCTTATCAATTCTAGTTAAGATGACCAACAAGCCAAATCCACTCCCATGCCTACTCATTCACACGACTTGATGCCCCATGTCCTATACTTTGTCTACCACACAGTCAATAAACACGGTGCCCTTACTTTCTCTCTTATTTTGATTTTAATCATCTCAATGGATTTTGTTAGGGATTACATTTCCTGTCTATTATTTATAAATAATATAACATAATTTAAAATTTTAAGATGGAAGAGTTTTTTAAAAGGTTAAAATGCAAAAATACTCAAAAACTTTTTCTTTTCGAGCTTGTGGTATTCTTAAATCAACAATAATGTATAACTACCCCTTAATTTTAGAAGTCAACATCAATCTATTTTAACATATTGGTGAAGGTTAGTCTCTTTTATAAAGTTAAGAGATATCCATGCACCATTATTGACTTTAAGTTGCTAGTAGCTTCCAAAAATAAAAGTTTCTAAGTATTTTTGTACTTTAAACCTTTTTTAAATTAGGGAACCAAGCAGTAAAAAATTTATAAGATATAATTTTGTTGATATTTTGAATTTAAAAAATGTAGCTTAGAGAATTATTTAGAATTCAAATGGTGATGTAAGGCTAATAATTCAAATGGAGTTCACGCAATAGTGTTAGTATATATAGCCTATAGGTAACATCAAATTGTGTTTTTTCGTAATTGGAATAATATTGTCTACGTAAGCCATGATAAACTAATAACACGACGGAAATGTTTGGTATCACAAACAGAAAAATAATTTCTCCCCATCCTCTTCACACACACACACTCATAAAACGATTGGAGTGCAGGAAAGAATTCATTCATGTGGTACAGACCGGCATCGAGGTTGATCCTTGCGGGTCCTGAGCTGATAAAAGATATGTTAAATAGAAACTACAACTTTATGAAACCACACGATTCCTAACCACACGATTCCTGTTATCAAATAAATAAATAAATATATATATATATATCCACTGGTGTTGCAAGCTATTATGACAAGTGGGCTAAACACAGGAAGATAGTCAATCCAGCATTCAGTTTGGAAAAACTGAAGGTCATTTCCTTATTAAACTGAGCAAACTTATCTACTTACAAATTAAACTGAGAATTTTGTCTCTTAATTTCCAAATCTCTCTGCAGACTCTGATTCTAATCGTTTGCCAAAGTTGCAACGATATGATCAACAAATGGGGCAACATGTTGTCCCTAACAGATGGAGCATGTGAAGTGGACATATATGGCCATGGCTTAAGGGTTTCACAAAGGAAGTGATTTCTCGAGCAGCATTTGGAGCTAACTATGAAGAAAGTAGACAAATATTCGATCTTCTAACAGAACAAGCTGAACTTGTAACAAGTAACATACAGAAACATCGCATTCCATTATGGACGTAATTAATTAATTACTAAGACTATATTATGCGCTGAAATGTACGTGATCTATGCCTGTCACTTATACAAATTACTGACAAAATCATTTTGTAGGTTTGTACCAGCTAAATTGAACAAGAGGATGAAGGGAATTGAAAGAAACATGGAAGCTTCACTAGAGTGTATTATCAACAAAAAGAAGGAAGCCATGAAGGCAGGTGCAGCGACAAGGGATGACCTGCTAGGCATACTTTTAGAATCCAATCACAAAGATATTGAAGAACAAGGAAACAAGAACAAAGATGGGTTGAGTATGAAAGATGTGATTGATGAATGCTAATTGTTCTACCTGGCTGGCCAAGAAACCACTTTTTCTTTGCTGCTTTGGACAATGAAGCTATTGAGTAGGTATTCTGATTGGCAAGCATGTGCAAGGGAAGAAGTCCTGCGAGTCTTTGGCAACCAAGAACCAGATTTTGATGAACCAAAATATAAGTTATTCAAATAAATTGATTATATTTTGGATCAATCTAGAAAAAAACAGAGATACGACACTAATTAGGCTCTGAAATATTAATTCAATTACAATTAGGTTCCAGGAAAGGTCACTTCTAGTGATTTGCAACTGGAGTGCAGGAAAGAATTCATTCATGTGCCTAACTGTTATTAAATTGAACATTTGGAACAAAATTGTCATTCCTCCTAAAAAATACATACTACAATTTAACCACAAACATGTATATACTTATGAGGAAATTTGCCATTACAGGTGACAATGATCTTGTATGAGGCTTTGAGGTTATATCCACCAATAGTATGGCTAGAGCGGTATGCTGAAAAAAACATGAAACTTAGAAAACTATTAGTTCTTGGGGGAGTACAGATTTGCATACCAATACCTATGGTGCACCATGACCAACAGTTGTGGGGAAATGATGCCAAAGAGTTCAAAGCAGACAGATATTCGGAAGGGATCTCAAAGGCATTAAAAGGTACCTCTGCTGCATTCTACCCATTTGGAGGGGGTCCTTGAATATGCATTGGACAAAACTTTGCTTTGTTGGAAGCTAAAACAGCTCTATCTTTGATTCTACAAGGTTTTTCCTTAGAGCTTTCCTCAACATATTCTCGTGCTCTCACCATTGCCGTCAATCTTCAGCCTCAACATGGAGTTCAAGTCATTCTGCGTACACTGTAATAAATTTATTACATTCAAGTACTGATTCGTGTACAATATGAATTCAGCAACCATCATAATTCGGTTTGTGTGTCATAGTTCAGAATGATCCGCACTACTAAGTTAATAAAAATAAAGATTTATACAGTTCTACTCTTCCAATGCTTGGGGAGAAAAAGAAAGTATGGGCATCATCGAAGCATTGAAATGTTAGGCAAAGGACCAATTAATGATGAGAATAGCTAACGAGAGAGTGCAAAATGTCTCCAAATTCGGTCAGCAACCACTTGGGACTAATCTCCTGTTTTTGATCTCTAAGAAAAAATGGCCAGGGAGGATTTGGAAGTGGGGTGAAAATGTCAAAAATTATTCTTACTTTATATTATGTATTTTCAAAATTTAAAACTAAAAATGCTAAAAAAAAAATATTACAAAATCTGGACTGTCTAAATCAAAAGTAAACGATTTAAACAAATTAGAATCTAATCTTTAATCTCTCGTTAATCTAAAATTTTAATGATTATCCAACAACAACTTCATTTGTTATTTAATTTAAGATTAATTCAAGTTTTGATGATCAGTTTTAGATTGGAACAAATAATTATAGATAACAAATATTCAATATTTAATTACATTAATTTATAGTTTCTTTTTCCCATAGAGGCAACATTTAGGTCATACATATTTTTATTTCCACATAAATGAATTATATATAGAAACTCGGGAAAAGAAAGGGGGGGCTAAAAGTCACAAGTTTTTTGAAAAAATAATAGCTAAAACAATATTTTGGACATAGCGCACCCAAAAAAATTTCTGAACGTAAGATAACTTTCATTGAAAAAAGTAATTGACTTCTATGTGACAAATATTTAAGAAAAAATTGAACAGGTAAAAATCTTTCTACCCAAACGATCAAGGAACTGAACAGTTAGACTAGGTCAAAACTCAAGGTAAAAATGGGGCGGAGTGTGAATACAGGGGACCATTCGTTTAGTACAAGCAGCCAATCATGGAATGTAAATAAGTTCAAATCGTCCTAGTTTAACAACACACCCACACACACAACATTTATAATGATACTTTTAATTTTAATATTATAACTTGTACCCTAAAATGAATAATGCACCACAAAGGTTAAAAACTAAATTTATTAATACGTGAATGATATCACATAAGAAAATTTGACATAACAATTTTCATTGCAACAGCACAGCAACATTTCATTAATTTATTTAAAGTTTGTTTTCAAGATATCCCATCAATATTTTATTGGTATTGGTATTTTTAATATTATGACATGACTTGTACCTTAAAAGGAATACATGCACCATATAGGTTAAGAACTAAATCTATGAATACGTGAATGATGTGACATTAGAAAAATGATATAACCAGTTCTAATGTAATATAACAGCTACATTTTATTGATATTTTTAATATCATACTCCTCTAATTCTCTTCATAAATTATTTTTATCAGTCTCATCAATATTAATATAAAAAAAGTAAAAAGAATTGAAGTGTGTATAATTTTAAATATATTCCTATATAATAAATTTAAAAAAATAATATCACATTACTTTTTCTCTATCATAAAAAGTAATTTTAAAAATATTATTTAAAAAATCATATCATAATTTATAAATGCCAAATAAATTTTTTAAAACATGCTTTATAAATGAATGGATCGGATGGAGTGCCCGGTACACTAAAAGATGTACATGCATCACAATATCACATGGACCGAAAACTTAATAATCATACAAATTATAGAGCACGCCATTAGAAGCATGATATGACAACTTTTAACATTATATATATATATATATATAAAGAATTAGGTTTGCTGTCAATTCAAATTATCTTTTTTTATAAAATACAATTTTAATGTAGTCAATTATTGTCATTGATAGTCATCTAATGTATAAAAAAAATCTAACATTTAATTTTAAAACTCATCAATTGTGATTATTGATAGCATACTTAATATTAATTTATTATATATAGCAATCGTATTATGATTTTCAAACGTTAAAGCAATATTTACTAAACATTTGTGCATCACCCAAGTACTATGCTGTTTTTTAAAATAAAATATGGATGAAAGGGAGTTGGCAGAAACAAATGATAATTGTTATGTTTTTTTTTCTCCCCGGGGGGGGGGGGGGATAAAAGACATAAAATACTGTAAGAATACCTCAGAGATCTCTTATTTCCAAATATTATCCAAGTAAGCATGCAATCAAGCCATTTGTTTTATCTTCGGTCACAGCCTTCACCAAAATCATAGTATTAATATTTAATAGGCTCCGACCTAGCACCCGCAAGTTCCAACTTGCCACCTTCCCTTTTATTGGAAGGCTTTGGTGCTATTATGACATGATGCAATAATTGTTTTTGGTAATTGAAATGCTGTAATAATTAATAGTGAATGCATAACCCATTTTAAATTACATCACCCATTCTTGAAAAAAATACACACATCTATGGGCCAACACTTTAATTAAAGAGGTGAAGACCAAGTAAAAGTAATAAGCAGAAGTCTCAAAAAATCTGTGTACTTTAGTGAGGCTCTCAATGGGAAGATAACAATAAAAAAGCTGGGAAAAAAAGGGGAGCAAATCCTCTAAAGTTGATATCCATGATTTTATGTGAACATTTTCTTTTTTGATATTTTTACCATTTTATTATTTTTTATAAAATATAAAATCTTATCTTAAAAAAAAAATGCAAACTTCATAAAATTCATTGATTCTCAACTGCATATAGAATCCTATCCCCGAGAAAGCGAATGTAAAGAACTATAGTCTATAGATCAACATCCCGTTGACACAGAAATGTGCCAACAAAATATTCCCTTATTTTGGTCCTTCCGCTCAATTTTCTCAAAGGCGCCAAAAAAAAAATTGATACAAAAGAGAATGCATTAAAACTAAAATGCAAATGAAAAATAAAACATGAAACCCAAAATATTTTAGAAGTAACCAATGAAGAGGAAGAACGAGGGACGGGACCCTATGAATATATGAAAATTCAAGCATTAGATACATTCCACATTCTATCTACCATATGCAGGACCACTGACATCACCTGATAACTATATGCATGCAGGACCACTGGCATCATCGGATAACCAAAAAAAAAAAAAACAAAGCGATAAGATAACAAATAAATATAACAAACATTTTTAAACCCTGAATAAACAAACCATGAACTCCGTACATCAAATTACTACACCATTACTTCCTAAAAAATGATTGATTCATATGTATAATATAACTAAGCAATATCTCGGTAAGATACAGAAAAACAAGAACAAAAAGAAATAGCGTTGGCCGGCAAAAAGCTTTCTGGTATAATTCAGTAATATATGTGATCGCAATACATGTCTATATAAACTAACACACAAGACTGTTATATATAATAGTTTCAACTTATTCTCATTCCCTTACTCTTTTCTCTACTTTGAGATTATATGAAGATTATTAGATCCACACCACACAAGCGCGCGCACTCAGAGAGAGATGACTGGATCATCAGTAATATCAGTAGTGGCCACTTCGATAGCAGTCATAGCAGTGGTAAGATGGGTTTGGAAGATGGCCATGTGGTTATGGGTGAATCCGAAGAGGCTAGAGAGAGCTCTGAGACATCAAGGTCTTGAGGCCAATCGCTACCGATTCTGGGTTGGCGACTCTGTCCAAATGGCTAACATGGTACAACAAGCCAAATCCTCTCCTTTGCCCGCTCATTCCCATGACTTGGTCCCTCATATCTCCCCCTTTCAGAATCACACTGTCAACAAATACGGTGCCCTTCCTACGCCTTTCTCCTTAATTCATCTCTCTCATTCTTTTTTATTTTAACATTCCTATCCATTTTCTCACCCAACTATGCACTGTCCATAGTTTAAGAAACTAATGACATGACAGTAACGTTTGCTACCATAAATAGAAAAGTTATTTCCTTCCATCCCCTTTACATACACATACATATTATATAGTCATACTGAGAAACAGTTTAAGTGCAGGTAGGAATTCATTCATGTGGTATGGACCAGCACCAATATTGATCCTTATGGATACCGAGCTGATAAAAGATACGTTACACAGACACTACGACTTTACAAAATGTCACAATTTCCCCATTACCGAATATATAGCCCCTGGTGTTGCAGGCTATGACGGTGAACAGTGGGCTAGACACAGGAAAATTCTCCATCCAGCATTCAATTTGGACAAATTGAAGGTTATTTCCTTCTTTTTCTTACCAAATCAAACTGCCGTTACACATCAACTTATAGATAAATATATAGATAAATTTCCATGTTATCATGAGAGCATCTTGCAACTAGGTATACTTTCGGGACGGAATTTTGTGTTTCACTTTTGACTGCAATTACCAGAACTGCAGCCATTTGGCTCTCATAATATCTTCATCTTTCTACAGTCTCTGATTCCAATCTTCGCCCAAAGTTGCAACGAAATGCTCAACAAATGGGAGAACCTCTTGACCCCCTCAAATGGAACATGTGAAGTGGATGTATGGCCTTGGCTTAAGGATTTGACAAAGGAAGTGATTTCCCGATCAGCATTTGGAAGTAGCTATGAAGAAGGCAGACAAATATTCGATCTTCTAGCAGAACAAGGTGTAGTTGTAATGAATAATTTACAGAAACATTACATTCCATTATGGAGGTAATTTACTAAGACTAATAATCTAATATAGTGACACATGCTTGTGACTTATAGATCAGTGCTGATTAAATCTTTTTGTAGGTTTCTACCAACTAAGGAGAACAACAAGATGAAGGAAATTGAAAGAACCGTGAGAACTTCCCTAGAGCATATTATAAACAAAAAGGAGAAAGCCAGGAAGGCAGGTGAAACCAGAAAGAATGACCTACTGGGCATACTTTTAGAATCCAATCACAAGGAGATTGAGGAACAAGGGAACAAGAAAAGCTTTGGATTGAGTATGAAAGATGTGATTGACGAATGCAAGTTGTTCTACATGGCAGGCCAAGAAACCACTTCAGTTCTACTGGTCTGGACTATGATGCTACTAAGTAGGTATCCTGACTGGCAAGCACGTGCAAGGGAAGAAGTCCTGGAAGTCTTTGGCAACCAAAAACCAGACCATGATGCACTAAGTCACCTTAAAATTGTAAGTGTCTGTGTGATATATCATATCTAAAGTTTTTCAAATAAGTTGATTCTATTTTAAATCGAACTCTAAAATATATATGCTACAATTAAACACGAACATGTGTATAATAATAATGAAATTTGCCATTATAGGTGACCATGATCTTGTACGAGGTTTTAAGGTTATACCCACCAATAGTATGGCTAGAGCGGTATGCTGATAAGGACATGAAACTTGGAAAACTGTCAATACCTGGAGGAGTACAGCTTGGCATACCAATACTTATGATGCACCATGACCAACAATTGTGGGGAGATGATGCCAAAGAGTTCAAACCAGATAGATTTTCTGAAGGAATTTCCAAGGCATCAAAAGGTAGTTCTTTTGCATTCTTCCCATTCGGAGGGGGTGCTCGAACCTGTCTTGGGCAGAACTTTGCCTTGTTGAATGCTAAGGTAGCTCTGTCTTTGATTCTACAACGTTTCTCCTTCGAGCTTTCCCCATCATATTCCCATGCTCTCACCATTGCTGTCACTCTTCAGCCTCAACATGGAGTTCAAGTCATTCTGCGTAAACTGTAATAAATTTATTATATTAAAGCACCAATGCGTGTACAATATGAATTCAGAACAATCTGCATCTCCCATTAATAAAATTAAAGTAGATGTATATAGTTCTACTTTTCCAACACTTGGAAGAGAAAGAAAGTATGGACATCATCTAAGCATTGAAATACTATGCAAAGGACCAGAAGTGAGGATACAATAATGAAGCATGGTGAAGGGATGAGCAAGGAAGATCACTTAGGGAGAAGGGAGTATACTCATCATGTGCAAAAGTCATTACCGAAAAGGGTCGGGATGATTATTGTGGAACTTCCCTCTCTTATGATTGCTTTCCCTCTGTAATCAGTTCTTCCTCTCCCTGAGTAGTATCTTTCCCTCCTCTGTTTTTCCTTCTTGTTTTCTGCTTTCCATCTCTGTGTGTCTATGCAACTGTGCTGGTTAAGATATAATAATAATGGTGTTTCCATTAACTATACTGTACTGTATGCGTGTGTGTAATCTTCTTCAAACGAAATCGTAACGAATAGCAAGTGAGGAAGAGTCCAAAATGCATCCAAATTCGGTCACCCACCACTTGGAACTCCTCCCCTGTTTCGGAGCTCCAAGAAGAAATGGCCAAAGAGGCTTCTGAAAATAAGTCCATTTAGTAGCAAAAGTGGAGAAAGTACATGTTACCCTTAGGTTGCTTGAGACTTAAAAAATGGAGAGAAATGGAGAAGACGGTTGCTGATCCAACAAGGAACCCTTACCCAACGCAACCACAATAAACAAGTGAGTAGAGAAGGAGCTTGACTGCTTGACTGCTCCGGCCAACGAACGCAGCGTGAGGAAGAAGAACAAAGCGGAATGGTACAGGAGACAGAGTTCGCAACGCTAAAGAGCGGCTGAGAATTTTATTTCCCCACTCACCGCAATTCCATGGTGCAATGTGCCGGGCTGCCGGCTGGGCTCTAGTGCAAAACTGCTGAATGGGGAAAAAGCGCATTTTGGGTAAATGACATATTTTAAGATTAAGAAAAATAAATTATTTCATAACCGGATTTAAATTCTCTAGAATATTAGATTCATAGATCTATTTGAAGTTCTTTGGCCAAATAAATAAATTTATTTGAAGCATTTTTCTTTTACTATTTTTGCTGACTTTTTATTTTTATAAAATTTAAAATTTTTCTTTTATTTTAAAATAACAAAGTTCATGTATTTTCGTTCATATATAAATTGAATGATCCAAATTTAAAAATATTAAACTATAAATTTTAAAATGATAAATTTATTTTATTGGGATATGATGATAATGACAATATTATCTTTATTTTTATTTTGTATCTATTAAAATAAAAATTATTTGAAGTATAAAAATTAAATGGAAAGAAAAACTGCCATCAAAAAGACCTGGCAATGAAACATAAAAGGAAAGATATAACCCCCTATTCAAACCACCAAAATATAGGGAGTTATATCATCTTATTGTTGGCTTCCTCACAATTCTATGATATTCAAGAAATTAATGTCCGAACAAAATATAACACTTGCACTTCACCAAAAAAAAAAAATAATAACAAATATATTATTTTTAACAAGTATTTCTTACATTCATTTATTTTCTGGACTATAAAACTGAAGCAAAGAATCAGTAGAGCAAGTTGTAATCCCAAGCAGATAGATTAGGCTCTCTGTAGGATGACATGAATCCCAAAATGTGGTTGAAGAGTAACAACGGTGGTCAGAGCATGAGAATATGATGGCGAGGGTTGAAAGGAGAAACGTTGTATTGTAAAATGAAGGACAGAGCCATCTTAGCTTCCAACAAGTGCAATGTTTTGTCCAAGGCAGATTCGAGGACCCCCTCCAAATGGAAAGAATGCAATAGAGTTACTTTTTGATGCCTTTGAAATTCCTTCAGAAAACCTTTCAGGGTTAAACTCCTTGGCATCATCTCCCCATAACTCTGGGTCATGGTGGATCATAAGTACTGGTATGCAGTAAATGCTATATGTGTTCTTGCAGGAACTGATAACTCTCCAAGTTTCATGTCCTTCTCAACATATCTCTCCATGGCTACTAGTGGTGGGTGTAACCTCAAAACCTCGTATAATATCATGGTCAGCTGCAATGTCGAAGCAGATGCAGTATCTTGAAAATGACGCACTTTAAGTGAATAATATAGTCGCATCATGTCAAAGTATATATACTTACGATCTTAAGTCAGTTTAGGCCAACAAAGTCTAGATTTTTGTTGCCAAATACTTGCAATACTTCTTCTCTTGCACGAGCTTGCCAATCAGGATACCTACCCAGCAGCATCATAGTCCAAACAAGCAAAAACAGAAGCGGATTCTTGGCCTGCAATATAGAACAACTTGCATTCCCCGATCACATCTTGCATGCTCAATCCAACGTCCTGTTTGTTGTTTCCTCCTTGTTTTTCATTCTCCATGTGATTGTATTCCATAAGTATGCCAATAGGTCATCCTTCCTTCCTTCCTTCCTTCACCTGCCTTCATGGCTTTCTCTTTCTTTTCAATAATACCCTTCAGTAAAGCTTCCACGTTTCCATTAATCTCCTTCTTCCTCCTGTTGGTTTTAGTTGGTACAAGCCTGAAAATAGATAAAGCAATCCTTTAATATATATACATATTGATGAATTAGAGATATATATAGACTTATCCTGCAATCTTACTACCAGAATGGAATGTGAAATTTCTCTACAGTTTTTATTAGGACAAGTTCAGCTTGCTCTGTGAGAAGATCGAATATTTGTCTGCCTTCTTCATAGCTACTTCCAAAGGCTGCTCAAGAAATAACATCTTTTGTCAAATTCTTAAGCCAATGCCATACATCCAATTCACATGCTCCATCTGATGAAGACAACATATTTTCCCATTCTCTTGTCAAATTCGAATATTTGTCTGCCTTCTTCATAGCTACTTCCAAAGGCTGCTCAAGAAATAACATCTTTTGTCAAATTCTTAAGCCAATGCCATACATCCAATTCACATGCTCGATCTGATCAAGACAACATAGTTTCCCATTCTCTTGTCATGTCACTGCAACTTTGGGCGAATGCTGGCAGAAGAATCTGTCAAAGTCAAAAATCAGAAGCCATTGGTATTATGGAATTAAGTAGATATCTGAACCCATTAGATATAATGGCAAGCAAATAATAAGGATACGTACACACCTTCAATTTTTCCAAATGGAAAGCTGGATTGATGATCATTCTGTGTTTAGCCCACTTGTCCCTCTCATAGCTTGCAACACCAATAGCTATATACTTGAGAAAAGGATTCATTTGAGGCTTTAAAAAATCATAGTTTCTATTGAATACAACCTTTATTTGCTCCGGATCCATCAGGATCAACCTCGGTGTTGGCCCAAACTACATAAATGAAGTCTTGCCTGCACATTTAATTTAATTTGTACAACTTGTTTTGGAGCATTAACATAACTAACAAAAACATGATAGTCAGAACAAAATTGATATGATATAAGCTTGAAGGAAAATCAAACCAAAAAGACTCCAGCATTGTTTGAGAAAATCTCAAAACTTTCATATAACTTCATTTATTTAGACTGCCAAAGGAAATAAACCTTGTTCTATTTTAACGTAAAACAGAGCATTTGTATTTGTTGGATTTAAAGTCCGTCTTCGATAAGCCAAAGTATTTAATGAAACCGAGTTAAGGCACTATATTATATCAAACTATATATGATAAGATATCAACTTGATATTTGTCAAATTAATTTTGACCAAGCAAGAGATTAAATTTGAATTACTCTATCCAAATCCCAGAATATCTTATTAAATAAAACAAGATATTGAATACCCAAAAACACAAAAAAAGAAAAGATATTAAGAGTAGCTAGAAGATTTTCCTGTGAGAGAGAGTCGACTGAAAATGCTTCAATAGTATATCACCGAACATGAACATGCGATTTACAATATATACACAATGCTAGGCTAATCTAATCCCTGATTTCTAGCCTATGACTAGGGAAGGAATAATCACCATTAATTCTAATGGTCAGAACCGAAGGAGAAGGGATAATAATAAAAAACACATCAAGCCTATTTACTATTTACACAATTAATGGGATTTCCACACTCCCCCTCAAGTTGGACTATATATGTCAATCATTTCCAACTTGCCTACAAACTTTTCAAACATCTCCTTGTTCAAGCCTTTGGTAAAGATATCTGCAGTTCGATTCCGTGATGGCACATGTATGAGTGACACAAGGCCTCCCTCAATCTTTTCTTTGATAAAGTGTCTATCAACCTCAACATGCTTGGTTCTGTCATGATGAAACTGGGTTATGTGAGATGTTTATAGCAGCTTTGCTATCAGTGTATAGCTTCATTGGAAGTTCTAACTCAATCCTTAGCTCTTCTAATACCCGTTTTACCCATATCTCTTCACATATACCATGAGCTACTGCTCGAAATTCAGCTTCCACACTACTCCTTGCAACAACATTTTGCTTCTTACTCCTCCATGTCACTAGATTTCCCCACACATATGTGCAATATCCTGATGTTGATCTTCTATCATTATGGGCGCCTGCCCAGTCTGCATCTGTAAATATCTCTACATTTTTCTTCTCTGTCTTTTGATATAATATTCTCTTTCCAGGTGTGCCTTTCAAGTATCGTACAATCTTGTAGACTGCCTTTAGATGTTTCTCTTTAGGAGTATGAGAATGTTGGCTTGCTACACTTACTGCAAATGCAATATCTGGTCTAGTATGGGAAAGATAGACAAGTTTCCCAACTAGTCTTTGGCATCTTCCTTTGTCAACATCTTTCCCTTCATTTTCTTCTTCCTCTTCATCTTCTTCTTCTTCTTCTTCTTCTTCTTCTTCTTCTCTGTCATCTTTTTTTATCTTCTTCTTTTTTGATGTTACTTCAATGGGTGTCGTACTAGGTTTGCACCCTAACATTCCTGTCTCTTTTAGCAAATCGAGGATGTATTTTCTCTGGGATATATAAATCCTTTTTTTAGGTCGCGCTACTTCCATTCCCATAAAATATTTCATTTCCCCTAAGTCTTTGACTTGGAAGGATTTGGCCAATGCCTTTTTAATCTTTTCCATCTCTTCATGGTCATCCCCTGTGAGGATGATGTCATCCACATATACGCTCAGAATAGTTTTCTTTCCTTCCCTGTGCTTGAAGAACAATGTATGATCACTCTGCCCTTGAGTGAAACCTTCCTTTCTTAGAACTTGTGTGAACCTTTCGAACCATGCACGAGGTGACTGTTTTAATCCATATAAGGATTTTCTTAATTTACAGACTAGGTTCCTTCTCTGGGCAGGGAATCCAGGTGGTGGCGTCATGTACACTTCTTCCTTTAAGTCTCCATTTAGGAATGCATTCTTTACATCTAACTGATACAATGGCCAATCAAGGTTTGCAGCCAGGGACATAAGAATTCTTACTGTGTTGAGCTTAGCAACTGGTGCAAAT